AGTAAGAGAGCGAGAGAGAGCGAGGGAGAGAGAGAGAGAAAACGAGAAAGTTTAACACATCCAGGCATATTTATTTTTTGCGTGTTATCAAGCACCCTCAAAAAATTTTTGCATCCGCGTTCCTTTAAAATGCTAAAATGCGTTAAAATTCCAAAAATAAATCTTATGCTGATAGCTAGTCATGTTAGATAGTGAGTGGGACTGAATTGAGTGACCAGCCTAGAGGGGAGGGTGGCTGTTCCGGCGATGGCCCGTGCCCCCTGAGGTGTTACAGCTTTTCGGATGTCTGTTTTCTCTCTCTCTCTCTCTCTCTCTCTCTCTCTCTCTCTCTCTCTCTGCCTCTCCCTCTTTCTCCTTCCCTTACAGCCCGTCCTGTAAGGGCCATTCCTCACAAATTGTCTCTGCTCGCCCCCCTCCCTTGGCCAAGACATGAGTTTGATTTATGGTAGAACAACTATGGGGCCAACAAGTGGGTGCTCGGCTATGGGCGTTTTTTAAAGGGATGGACAAGTCAAATGTTGTAGAGAACGAGAGAGAGAGCGAGGAAGAGAAAGAAAGAGAGCAAGAGACGGAGAGTGAGAGAGAGACATAGAGAAGGAGAGAGCGAGAGCTAGAGAGTGCTTAATGTCCATTTTCCAAACCGCGAAGCGAAAAAATACAAGCAAGGAAAGCCAACTAGAGAAATCGGATCGGAGCAACAGATGCGCGCGCCCCAAGGGGTCTCTGCTGGGCGTCCGCCCTCCTGGCCCGCGTTTATTTGGGCCACTAGGGCCACACGCCAGCAAAAAGTCTCGTTCCGAGGGCCACCGATCCCCGTTCCGGGCCTCCGGATGCTAATTGGGACATGTGGCTTCGGATTTCGGGCGGATCGGTGGCGTCAAGGCAGAAAGTTTTGGGTACCCGCCAGAAGGAAAGTACGAAAAGCAGCTTGCCGCTTTGTTGCGAGGAAGGTAAAAAAGGAAACATAGAATACTTGAATGCAAAAATTCGTTTTAAAGGGATTAAAAATCCATCGGATTAAAAGCAGGAAAATTTGCTAGGCGAGTTCCATTAATTGTCTCCTGCTCTTTTTCTCGCTCACCCCACGTCTCTTTCTGTTGCTCACTCTCTCTCTCTCGCTCTCTCTCTCTCTCTCTCTCTTTCTCTCTGTCTCGTTCTCTCTCTTTCTCTCGTTCTCTCTCTCTATCTCAGCTCTCTCTCTTTTTATTCGACGAAGGTTTTGCCTGAAATTCCCGTTACAGCACACCAAGGCTACGTTTTTGAACTCCGTGATGCCCTCCAGCCCGACAACACACATGTTTCCTCGTTGGCTCGTCAAGTGCTTCTTTTCTGCTCCTTTAAAGGGATCGCCACTTCAGGGAAGGGGCGCCAAGTATGAAGAAGTGGGGCGACTAGCCGGCCAGCTAGCGATGACCGCTTTTTGCTAGAAATGATATTGTACTTGCGGCAGATCCCACTCGCTCACTCTCTCTCTCTCTATCTCTCTGTCTCTCTCTCTCTTTATTTATTTCCGTTGCGTAATGGTTTATTTCGGCCTCAGATAAACACCCTTCTTCGTGATTCTAGATCGGCTTGTTTACCACCTGTCATCTGAAGCGGCGCGTACACCCCAGAGCGGATGCGGAGGAGACCAGCCAAAATTTCCAGAAGGGGAGAAAAGCTCCTCTCGTTTTGATCAATCAATAATCTTTTTCTAGCTCCCTCTCCATCTCTCCCTCTCTTTCTCGCTATCTCTCTCTCCCTCCCTCTCTCTCTCTCACTCTCTATCTCCCTTGCTATCCACTACTTGTTTCACACCTTCAGACGAACCACCAGCCTGGGGGCAAAGACACGGGTGTCGCCTTCCGCCAAAATCCTAATCACTCCCGTAAACAAGGTGTTGAATGGAAAGGGACATCGCCTGGGGGAACCCAGGAAACTTTAGAATCCGGAAAAGGATTCCACAGTGTTTCATGGTGACTGTAAAGGTGCTTCTGCTTTTTTCTCTAAGTTTGAGCTTCTAGCACTTTTAATCAGCTGAGCTTCTGATGAGTCTTTCTCTCTCTCTCGCTCTCGCTCTCCCTCTCCCTCTCGCTCTCGCTCTCCCTCTCGTTCACTCTCTTTCTCTCGCAATGTCTCTTTCTCCACCTGGTAACATAAAATGTCTTAAATGTCAACGTATAATTGTAGTTTTTCATTTCCACTTAAATACTGTAGAAACTTGCACTTCAATGGTTCTTTAAAAGTCCGAAATTATTTTTCTTCTCTTACCCATTGGAATGCGGGGAATCTTGTTTAGCTATAGGGCCCTCTGATCGGGCACAGTTGTTTGGTATTGCCATTTCTTTGGCAATGAAAAAGAGAAATGATAGAGAGAGTGAGAGAGAGAGAGAAAGACAGCCAGAAAAATGCGATGATGTCAATGGGACGATCGAGTGAGTGGTGCGCCTGGGGGGCATTCCAGCACCTGTAGCAAGGGGCTTTTCGCCTTTTTGTTGCTGCTTGGGCATGTGTTCTCGACTATTTTGTCTGTCTCCCGCCTCTCTCTCTCTCTCTCTCTCTCTCTCTCTCTCTCTCTCTCTTGTCAGGTTCGATTTGACTTGACAAGGCGTTTGGGTCTCAAGCCTTGATATTTTTTCGAGTCCCGGCATGGTTTAAACTATATTTAGCAATTAGTTTGTAGTTTTAGCAAGTTTTTAGACAACCTTTAAATGCGACTAATTACTACAAGAGTTTTACAATCCTAAAATCTAACTAATTAACATAGTTCCGGTCCCCTGGCCCTAGGGGCCGGCTGCTCAAACACTAGGATCGGTGGGACCAGGGACGCAGAGTATTTCGCACCTTTCCGATTCTAATTTTACGGTATATTAGTATAGATACTCTCTTTTTTCCGGCCGTTTTTCTTGATTTTCCACTATCTTTGGGTTAAGAAGCCATGAATTAAGAAGAAATTTCGAAAATCTCCGTAGTTCTTTTCTGTTAACGGCGGGAATACCAATTTCTGCCCAGTAAATTCATAGGGCCCTATAACGTCATTTAAATTCTCTTCGTAGTGTTTTTAAACGGCATTTCTATATAAAAACAATAAAAACACGAAGATTTGCTACTTTTGGTCCGACACGTTTGAAAAACGGCCAAAAGCCTCAAAAACTCCGAATTTTCGAATTTTTTAAATATTTTTCTACTTTGCAACAATTAAAAAACGCTAAAAAATGCGGAAAACAAATAGCTTGCAAAAAACTTCTTTTGGCGCAGGAAGCCTGAAAGCCTGCGAAATCCGGCGTGTCGTGTAGTTGTCGAGACCCAGCTGGCTGGGGGTCGATTCCCCTCGCTTCATTAGTCCTTTAAAGTCGCATAGAAGTGATTGATTTGTGGGGAAACATATTAGCATGCACGTCGTTCGGAGTGTTGCGTAGCTGTCTAGACCTAACCAAAAGGCAGGGGTCCATTTTGGCGTTGCTCAGCCCCTTCAAACCCCAAATTTCATTGCCTATTTCTTGGTTTCTGTTTTCCATTGTCTTCCCCACACAAACTTTAGGGTTTCCGCCTTGCCCCCGGCGGGGGCCCAATTGTGGCTCCGGTCGGTTTCTATGGCGCCTCTGGCAAAATTGTGCGCACCTGTTTTTTTCCGTCTGCATCTCTCGTCGCCGCTTCTTTCTCTCTCTCTCTCTTTATCTCTCTCTCTCGCCCGGCAAGACCACCTCCCGAAAACAGGTGAAAATTGGCCCCCGGTGGGCCACATTGCAAATACCAAACTTTCCGCTTGTTAATGAGCGCTTCGTAATGGTAATGGCTCGTACGGTAGCTCGGACTTTTTTATTGTCATGTAAAATATCTGCTGTGAAAGCGTCATCTTGGAAAGAAGCACAACTCTGACTTCCTGACCTCTTTAATGAAAAACTACCGATTTTCTGCCTTGGGAAGAAGGCGATTTTAGTCTTTGCCTTCTGGGCACCTTTAAACCTGTCTAAAAATGCGGTTTTCGACCTTGTAAACTTTGAAAAGAGCTCAAAAGCATACCAGTCTCCTCAAGTTCCTCTGCTCGGCTAACTGCTAAGCAAATAGCAAACGCGCATTTCAAGTTCAAGTAAACAATGAATTCGGGGGCTAGGCTTAAGCTTAGGTTAGGCTTAGGCTTACGGATAACTGATATTTTGATCTATGTTTTCCTTGCTCCAATACTCACACTGATGTGGCCAAAAACCTTTGGGGGATGGTGAAAGTCGAAGTAAGGGCTTGGCTTTGGCCCACTTCCGGGGCCGTCCATTATAGAACTGCGAATGGTTCTCTCTCTTTTTCCTTCTTTTTACAGTACAACTTTTTCTACCCTTACCCCACCCAGCTGGCCCGGATCGGGGCATATGTCTCGACCAACCCCATTCACCCCAAATTACCCACTTTCCGGCGGCGGCGGTAACATTTATTTTTCCGAAAGGGTTTCTGCTAGCTGGCCTTGTTGGCGCTTCTTATTGTACAGAGTGTGAGAGAGAGAGAGAGAGCGAGAGAGAGGCAGCGGGAGAGAGCGAGAGAGAGCGAGAGAGATAGGGGGAGAGAAGGTAAGCGTGAGAGAGTGAGAGAGGAGATCGATCATTTTAAAGGTCCATTGAAGAGTCAGAAAGGACTTCCGGAGCGTTACCCCTTCCCAAATTTTCTCTGCTAACCTCCCTATTTGGCATTTTTGAGGTTTACCTGGTTATTCTAGTTTTTTTTTCAGCTTTCTTTGTTGCCGTGGGAATTAATTTGGCGGTAAAACCCGCCGGGCCGTGGGCGCCGATAATTAGGCGTTTCCCGAGGTTTTTTTGCCCTCCCAATTTTTTGGTTTTGTTTTTTACCTGCACCACTTAGGTTACTGTAATACTCTCTACCTTGAATTCCTAATTGTATTTATATTTTTAGGATTTTTAGCTTTCATTTTGATGGGTTTAAATGTATTTTCTATCTTTGACAATATTGGCGATTTTCTTTCTTTCTTTCTATCTATTTCTTTCTATTTCTTTCTGTTTTCTATCAAAATTTAGATGGGCTGGGAGCCGCCAGGGAGATATTTATGGCACTTGCTGCCATTATTGCTGGCTCTAGCGTTACGCGCGACACCTATCGACGCTGTCATTTGTACTCAATGCCCGTATTCTCCAGAACCGCCACATTTAAATGATTGTCAAGATGAATGCCACGGAGATGTGTGCTATATTGGTGCGTTTTAAAGCGGCGGCGAGAGTTTTAGAGTAGGGGTCAGTTTAAAGCGGCCTGAGTAGCGCGTATAACAAAACCTTAAAAGTTTGGAAATCTAAGATGTTTTTTAGTCGTCAACAAGTACTTCAACGGAACCATCATCGCTGGGTGCCTGAAGCTGAGGGAGGGCGATCGGTTTTTGGGGAAGAATGTTTGTCATAGGGAGGAGACGAGGTAAGGAGTATCGCTCTCTCTCTCTCTCTCTCTCTCTTTCTCACTCGTTCTCTCTCTCTCTCGTCCCCTCTCTCGCACTCTCTCTTTCTCGGGTATATCTTTCCCTCAAGCCAGCTCTCTCTCTCTCTCTCTCTCTCTCTCTCTATCACTGTCTCTTTCACTCTCACAACCAATCTTTCAGAACAATCTGCGGCTGTGACGGTCGTGATCACTGTAATCACCCTCAAACCCCGCTGGCCACCTTCGAATTCGTTGATGAGCCGGTGTTCGCCAAATTTGAAACCATTCCACAGCTGCAATCAGGTTTTTCTAAGTTTCTGTCTAAAATTTGGATTTAGCAGCTGCTTCCAATGAGAGTACAGTAGCTCCAAAGAAAGTGGAAACTACCACAGGTTTTTGAATTTTTCTGGAGTCCTTCAAAACTTGCTTTTTTTAGAAAAAATCGTTGAGGTCCAATCATCGATGTTTGTGAAAGATGTAGAATCCAAGATTGATACTTCGACAAGGTGAGGTTGTAAGAAGCGGCAAGCTAGCAGAGAGGCCTTAGGAAAGGGCAGGCTAGCAGAGATTCTTTAGGAAATGGGAGACTGGCAGAGATTATTAGAAAAGGGCAAGCTAGCTGAAATTCTTTGCGGGATTTTGCCACTTCCCATTTTTAGCCATTCCAATCCCATTTTTAGCGCTCCACTCCTTCGCACAATCTCTCCAGAAGGCGGCAACAACATTACCGAGCTCGCCGAGATTCAGGTATTTTTGAACTTGTCATTTTTGATTTTTTGCTTTTTTTCGGGTCCTTACCGCCTTGAAGAATTTTGAAAATCCTTTTTTTTTGTAAATTTCGATCTTCCAAAAATCAAAAATTAGCTAAAAATCCTCAAAATTCTTCAAATACCGTAACCCCTAAACCCCCGGTGCCCCGTGGTATTTCGATTTCCCATTCCAGGAGGTTCCTATTGACGGTCTGGACAACGGGGTACAAGACAATACTAACAACGGGGATACGGCAGATGCTGAATCCCAAAAATTCCGCGATGATCCTAGCAACGCAGCTGGGGTTACAGTAACGGAAAAAGCGCAAGAAAATCAGGCTAAGTTGGTGACCGCTGACCCGAAGCTCGAAGTTCTAAGCATTGAAGCCGTATCGGCAAGGCTAAACGTGGGAGAAGTACGCGACAGTACGCCGATGACAACAACGTTAAAGGCCATTTTGAGCCCGGCGAAATCTGAGGGTACTGTAGCCGCAGGTACTGTAGAGAAATCCGGCATGGAAAGCCAAGAAAATCACTCTGGGCTTACGGTGTCTGACGGCCACATCCAAGGTTTAGAATCGGAAATATCGACGGAAAATTCTGAAGTTTCGGATTCGGAAAAATCCAATTCCGCGGCTGCGCATACCGGAAATCACGAGATTCCGGAAACTACCTTAGCGGCTGAAAAACAACCGGAAACTACAGTAACCCCGGATGCCCCAGACCTAAATTCCGAGACGATCCGCGACGCTCCGGAATCGGAAACCGAGGTCCAGCTAGCGAAGGAAACGGAGGAGCTCCTAAAAGTTGCCCTAAATCCGGATGCTTCGCTGAATCAGGGCCAGGATGCGGTGGCCGAAGTCTCGACGCTACGTGCAATCCTCAGTACGGTAGAAAAAGCAGCCGAATCGGAGGAATTCAAAATCGAACCCGGAAGTGGCTTAACCTCGGAAGAAACCGCTAGGATTACGGTATCTGGGTCACGAAATAACGGCCCTGAAGTCAGTACGATACGCGCCGTCATTACAAATACCGTCGAGAATGAAGGTTCGATGATTCCGGGAGATTTCCAAGGTGTCACCATCCCTTTAAAAGCCTCCCTGACGGCTTCGGGACCACTCAGGGATTTCATCGGCCCATCTACCGTATCCCCACTAAAAGTTAACGCCTATACGGTGACACAAGAGCTGGGGGATACTGTAGAATCTGGAGAAGCCCAAGAAGCCGTTGAAAATGAGAAACAGCCGATCGAAATCACCGTAAATGCATACATCGAGACGTCGAATCACACGGCCGAGGCGACGATCGAAATTCTGAAGCATGTGAAGAATTCGACAACTCAAGAAGATACCACGGCTGACACCAGACTACAATCGATGAATGACACGGAAGAATACGTAAAGAATTCACAAGCGGAAGCGGAGAAGCCGCTGGACTTGAAGCCGCCGCCGAGGACCACGGCAACGAGCAGGGTTTGTTGGGGAATTCGGCATGTCGCTGTATTGGGCAGTTATGGAGTTTGTGGTCTGTAGTCCGTAGCCCGTAGCCGTCCCCGATTTTAGAAGTCGTAGTGCGTGGTTTGTATGCTGTAGTTTCTACTCTGTAGCCTGTAAAATGTGTAGTTTGCCCTCAAAAATCAACGAAAAAAGGCGGTTTTCACTTTCTGATCATTAAAGGCCTACGGGAAAAGTTGTAGTTTGTAGTCTGTGGCTGTAGTTTGTACTCTGTAGCCTCATATCCTCAAACAAAAAAAACACTACAAAAACTCTACTGCTGCACTTGTCGTCCGTTCCCACTAACCATGTCCCACACTTACTAAACTCGCACTGTTTTCGTGTTGTTTTATGTATCAACTCCCACTACCGTAGCCTCATGAAAACGAGTGTATTTTAGAAGCCCAGCGCCACCAGACTCACCTCGCCCTCTCCAATTCTAGAGGATACTGAAGAAACGGAGGAGATCCAAGGTCCACAAGGTATGGCCATCCAGCTGTAAAACGAGTTTCGCGCCATTCCGAAAGGATCTCTGCCAGCGTGCCTGATTTTTTTAAACAGAAAATTCAGAAAAACCTGCGGTCAGTCCCCAGAATTTGGAAGGTACGGAAAATGTGCCAGAGCTGATCACCCGAGCTTCAGATGTCGATGATGAGCTTAGCGAGGAGAAAGGTAGGAAGAGAAAGCGAGTTTGCTTTGCTCTGGCGTATGCTTCGACTTTGTCGTCTTAGGCTGAGGCTTAGGCTTAGGCGTAGGCTTAGGGTTAGGCTTAGGCTTAGGCTTAGGCTTAGGCTTAGGCTTAGGTTTATTAGGCTTAAGTTTAGGCTTAGGTTAAGCTTAGGCTTGGGCTTGCTTAAGTTAGGATTAGGCTTGGGCTTAGACTTAGGCTTAGGCTTAGGCTTAGGCTTAGGCTTAGGCTTAGGCTTAGGTTTATTAGGCTTAAGTTTAGGCTTAGGTTAAGCTTAGGTTTGGGCTTGCTTAAGGAGGATTAGACTTGGGCTTAGGCTTAGACCTAGGCTTAAGATTAAGCTTTTATTAAGCTTGGGCTTGGGCTTCAGGGAACAGAACGAGGCATTCGAATCCAAAACCTTCGATTTTCAGGGGAAATGAGCGCCCAAGAAGGCACCACCGGCGCAACTACCGTAACCCGATTTTCAGCGCTCCTCGTTGCACTAATTGCTTTTTGGAGCTTACAGATTTAATGATACAAATCCCGGTTATAGCTTTCGACAAATGTTGTGATCAAAGATTCTAATTTAATTCTGAAACAATTACGCAGCTGGATTTTTGATTTCCCGGATTTTCCCCCTTACGAGTAAGCGGCTCATATCAAAGTTCTATCGTATTTTTTGAAATTTATTGGTTTTCGTTTTAAAGGGATATCAAGAGTAACGGTCATCGGAACTGAGCTTAAGGCTTAGGCTTAGGCGTAGGCTTAGGCTTAGGCTTAGGCTTAGGCTTAGGCTTAGGTTTAGGCTTAGGCTTATTTGGCTTAAGTTTAGGATCAGGCTTAAGCTTAGGCTTAGGCTTAGGCTTCGAACTTCAAAAACGCGTATCTCGTTATCCCTTTAATCCAAAAATCTAAAGTTTTGCACCGCCAGATTCTAGTCACACCCGCCCGGATGCTACAGTATTTTTATTTAATCTTTATTTTTTACTATTTTATTATCTTCAGAGATAGGCCCACCTACCCTGAAGCTGCAAAAAAATGTGATACCCCGTCATTTTATAGCTGTTGTAAGCTTTCCCGGTTGTTCATGGAATAAATATTGTTACTACGAGAAATGAAAAGCTAGCAGAGATTCTTCAGGAAAGGGCAGACTTGCAGATATTCTTTGGGAAAGGGCAGGCTAATAGAGATTCTTTAGGAAACGGCAATCTTGCCAAGCTTCCTTGGGTGCGCAAAAAAACGAGAAAATCGGTTTATGCAAATTTTTACAAGAATACAATTGACGCGTCACTTTTATCAATGGGGTAGGTGGACCGAGTGGTGGTGCATTCCTGGACGAGCTGAAAAAAGTGTTCCTAGCCCTTTAATGTAAGTTTTAGCGTGCTAAAGGGACAAAGACAGTTAGAACGCGTCACGGCGTACCTTCAGGCGCTTGTGACAAAATACACTAAAATATTCCCTTTCCAACGTTTTTAAAACCCCACCTTGCATGCCTGCTGATAGCTTTTGCTGTTTTTTTGTACGATATCATCGTCAACGGCGAATTGAAGAATCCCCTGCAAGACGGCAGCAAATTGGTCCTGAAAAACGGGCATTGATTCGGCGTCTAAAATCCCCAATGATCACCGCTAGCTTGCCTAAGCACCAACAAATCCTTACATTGTTCTTGGTGACGACGTTCTTGTACTTCCTCACCAGGTCGATGCACGCGATCAGCGTGTTCGCGCCGTTTTGGCGGAGCTGAAAGACGGACTTGTAGTCTGCAGCTTGGAGTTTAGAGGTTGTAGTCTGTAGCTGTCATCGGGTACTTAGGGAAGTGTTAGAGTTTGTATTCCGTAGTTTCTAGAGGTAAGCTACGAGCTTGAGTTTTTAGGGATAGGTTTAAAGGCTTGTAGAATGTGTTTTGCAGTTTGGAGCCCAGAGTTTGGAGCACAGATTTGTAGTTCGTATTTTGTGGCATATCCCTTTTCGTCTATGGTACTTATTCCGTAGCCTGTAGTTTGTAGTTTGTAGCCACACGGACCTGTCGACAAACCATCGACATCAACACGAAAGCCGCGCAAGTCCGAGCCCCACCCCCGTGCACCAAAACTGGAGCGTTCCTGTAAATTCCGAAATTCTGAATCAGAACCAAAGGATCCTGACGTACCCCTTGATCTTGCTCCGCAGCAAAATCGTGAAAATGTCCTTCAGAATTTGGCCGGTACATCGTGAATTCTCTTCTGAGTATTCCTGGAAAGAAGCAGGCTAGCAGAGATTCTTTAGGAAAGGGAAGGCGAGCAAAGACCATTTTGGAACTATCCCTCACCTGCCATCGATGATAGTGCACGGCATAAACCGTCCTTTCGATCGTCTTCTCCTCTGGGAGAATCGTGGATAGGTGTAGCTCGTAGTGGGACGAGGTCGGCTGCTCGCTCAAGGAGACCGTTTCGACGACGTAACGACCTCGGAGCTAAACTGAGATGAAAGATTGCGAGATTGAAATGAACCTTTTTCTTCCCCCCGACCTTCGAGTCGAACCAGCCGTAGGAGCCGTCTTTTTGGGGCGTCAGTTGGACGACGATGGAAATCTGGAAGGGTAGCGTGAGAGTGAGAGAGAGAGAGAGAGAGCTTCAACCACCTCATACTGTTGCAACATCTTGACAAACTCGGCCGCCTGTCCGTGCTTTGGGCTCTGAATTTGTGTATATTTTGCTGTAAATAAATTCTTTTGGGCTTTATCGATTACACTATACCACGTGCTCGATATTGGGCTAGTTTTAATTGATTATGCCATCAAGTCGCTCACCTGGGCGATGACGTATTCCCCAAACTTCGAGGTAACTTTGTCCATCGCGTCGAAGGTGCCGATCTGGAATTAGGTTTCGGCTTAGGTTCAGGATCAGGCTTCGACTTAGGCTTAGGCTTAGGCTTCGACTTAGGCTGAGTCAGAGGCTGAGGCTTAGAGTGTTAAGGTTATGCTTAGCTTTGCCAATATCCACCAAACCCGCCTGATTTGATTACGCCTTGAAAAGCCCTTTAGAAGCTATACCTTGCTTCGATCCGACATCCTGGCGCACTAATAGCCACTACCCAGCCCAGGGCCGGAAATTACGAAATTTTAAAGGGACTGTGAAGAGTGTCTAGGCGCGCCACCACGAGGTGTCTTGAATAAATGAACGTACACTGTGACGCCAGCCCGACATTTCGTCTGTCTTGTCTTCCGCTACTCTTCCACGGCTTCAAGTCAATTAGAGCCCCGTCGGGGTAGGGAAACTCGTTTTACCCCGGGGGATTAGTAGGTGGGTGGTTGATGGCACTGACGAGTGGCTGGTAGAAAAAAATATGTCGAAATGGAATTGAATATTTGTAAGAAATGGTTGGAAGAGGAGAGGGGGGGGGGGGGGGGGGAGGAGAGGGAGGGAGAGAGAGAGAGAGAGAGAGAGAGAGAGAGACAGTAAGATCAAGCGCGCAAAGGAAAAGTTATGGGGAATTTAACATAAGTAACTAGAGATAGAGAGGGAGAGAGAGAGAGAAAACTTTTAGTTTCTGGAGGTCGACTGGGCTATGGCGTAACTTGGAAGCCAAAAAAATGCGGAAGCCACCCGGTGGCCCTCATCATGTATGCATGAATTGTGGAGTGTAATTTCGTCTTTCTCTCTCTCTATCTCTTTATCCTTCTCTCTCTCTCTCTCTCTCTCTCTCTCTCTCTCTCTCTCTTGAAAAAGGTCGTAGTTCTCTTTGTTCCCACGCTATTGGATGCACCCTGGAACTTTGGCCGGGCGGCCTGCAGGGGCCGGAAAGCAAAAAATGTCGGTAGGTACCGAAAATGTCGACAAGAAGAATACCGACAACAAAACGGTATCGGAAAAATTCGATTAAAAAGTCTTCGTTTTGTCGGCATTTTGATTGCCGGTTGAAGGGAAGGGAAAGTTGAGCGGAAAGATTTATGCCGGTATTTTATCTGTCAGCATTTTGGCCCTCAAGAAGAGCAACGGGAAGCCAAAATTCTATCTGAAGCAGAAGACCACACAAACAGGCTACTTAATAGTCTAACAAAGGTTTAATGGCTTAGGTTTATGCCTAGGAAAAAGTGGTAGAATGCCAGAGAGGCCCAGAAAAAAATATTATTGGACCTGAAAAATGGGATGACTCGCGCGAAAACCGCATTTGGGCAGCGGTAGCCGTCTCATTAGGGGCTCCCACCAGGGCCCCGCGGCCAAATAATAAAACGTGGACCCTTATGAGAGCCACTCTTTCTGGAGTTTAATTATGTTTTCTCCAAACACCCCGGGAGAGCTGGTTGGGGAGAGCGAAATCTTGCAAAAAGTTGAGAGCGGCGGCGAGAGGTCAATAGGTGCGTTTTGGAGTACGTGACTTGCCGAATCAAAAATTCACGATATTCCTGGAAATGTTTTGGATGAGATCAAAAATGGATCCAAATCAGGAGATTTTAGCAGAGATTTTTTAGGAAAGGGAAGCCTAGCAGAGATTCTTTAGGGAAGGGCAGGCTAGCAGAGATTCTTTAGGAAAGGGCAGGCTAGCAGAGATTCTTTAGGAAAGGGCAGGCTAGCAGAGATTCTTTGGGAAAGGGCAGACTAGCAGTGATTATTTAGGAAAGGGCAGGCTAGTAGAGATCCTTGAGCCGGTCGAGTCGTGAGTGGTTTTTAAAAAAAAGAAAATTTTTTAAAATTTTAGAAAGAGAAGCGGGGGGGGGGGGGGGGGGCACCAGGCCCGGGGGAGAAAAAGGGAACGGGGGGGCCTGTTTTTTTGTTTGGGCCTAGCTAAGACCATTTCTGTATTGCTCTAGGGCAGGCTAGCAAAGATTCTTTGCGGATTTGCCCAAAATTGTATTCCTGGCGTTTTCAGCCCCTTTAGTTTTCGTAAAAACTGACCTCTCGACGGGATAGCCGGCTCATTCGGCTCATCGTGCTTCGCGTTCGATTCATTTCTGGTTGCTGAAAGTTGAATTTTTGGATGTTTTTAGAAAGAGAGAGAGAGAGAGAGAGAGAGAGTGAGAGAGAAAGAGAGAGAGAGAAAGCCCCGGCCGGTTTTTCGCGAATTTTCCTAAAACCTGGAGTGCAAGTAGAAAGCCAAGAAACCCAAACTTTAATTAGTGAAAGCCATTCCAGTGGCGTCAGGGGTCAAAAAAATGGAGTGAAGTTGCCGGGAGCAATTTTGGCGCTGACGCCTGGAACTTGGGTTGCAGCGGAGAGTTTCTTATTTCCTCTCGCCTTTAAAGGGGGTGAAGAGGGAAGTGATAGAAAGAGAGAGAGAGAGGGGGGGGGGGAGGAGAGAGAGAGAGAGAGAGAGAGAGAGAGAGAGACGACTGAGTCGACTAGGTTCGACATCCGAAATTGAAGTTTTTTTGGGCGGAAATTGCGAAGGGGTCAAGCGGATCTTTGAGGCTTCAACCCAATGTTTGTCGAAGCGGAAATGGCGCATTTTTGAGCAAGAAAGGGAGAATGAAAAATTTGTATGAACGGTTGAAGGACCATCTCACACGGATAAAGAGGACAGCGAGAGAGAGAGACAGAGAGAGGGAGAGAGAGAGAGAGAGGGAGAGAGAGAGAGAGAGAGAGAGAGAGAGAGAGAGAGAGAGAGAGAGCGAAATCTTCTTGAAATCTTCAGCACTTTCAATGAGCATCAAAACGGCCAGACATCCGTTGGTTTTTTTGAGACTCTGCATATTCCCACGCGCGATTTGGGGCGGCTAAGTGCATTCGTTCTTGGTCGTTCTCGGAATCTACATAATGCTGGTAAGCCAATAAAATAGCTGCACAAATGCTACGGAAGGCGGAAAGCATTCAAAAAATCCAGACTTTACTAGCGCAGCAAGCAAGTGAGGTGAAGCACATGAAAAGCGGCGATTTTCAGATTCCAGGACCTCGTGGAAGTTGGGATGTGGCCCCGATGGGGCCGCATCAAAAATGTAGGCGGGGGAGTGGTGGTTACTTTTGGAGCGGGGGGAACCAAATATTGAAAAACCAAAAGACATAGGCTTAGGCTTAGACATAGGCTTAGGCTTAGACATAGCCTTAGGCCTAGGTTTAGGCTTAGGCTTAGGCTTAGGCTTAGGCGTATGCATAGGCATAGGCATATGTATGCTTAGGCTTAGGTTGATCGTTTGAATTGACACCACCCTCATAACTTATTTGCCGCAAATCATCGTGACAGCCGGCCAGACAGGAAGTTCGTGCTTCCCAACCGGAAACAGGAATTCCGGATTAAAAAGCGAATTTAGAGAACCGCATTTCAGAATCTGTTTTTCGGGTTGATGCTAAAAATTGCTACAGGAATTTGTGGATTCAAGATGATCGAATAGTGGTACGATAAAATAGAACTCTTTATGCTCATTATTATTAGCATTATTAAAGCACAAATAGTTGAGTAATAACGATTTGCGGTAAAAGACAAAATGGAATTAGTATCTCCAGGGCGGGCGGGATCCGACGGCGCTGCTGAGGCGTTTCTGGCGTTGCGCGGATTCGGCGCTCTGAAAATGGGGGGAAATTTGATTATGGCCTGTTGATAGCAGAGTCAATCCTAAATGATCACTGCTAGCCTGCCCTTTCCTAAAGAATCTCCGCTAGGCGACGGATACGAAATCCGTACCTTGGCCCTCCTGTTCCCTTGTGGAGTGTAGAGGAGACGTCCGCGTCCCCCGCGCGTGTCCTAAAAATCAAAATTACTCTCTCTTTCCTACTCTCTCTCGCACCTTCAAAAATTGATGTCTCTTCGTCAGCACTTCCGTATCGATACTATTTACGGTCCCATCGGTCAGCAGTCCATTAGGGAAAAGCTTCCGGAAGTTGGGAATGTCTAAATATCCTTGCAATCCGTTTTTTCAAGCAAAAACCCTACCCCCGCGCAGGAAGATGGCCTTGAAGCCGCGCTGGAAAAGGGTAGCTGTGACGTTTGCCGCGCCAAGTCCGTAGATTACTGTAAAAGGGCGTTGTAGAGTAAAATCAAGTGTTTTGCTGAAAAACGCCATACCGACAGCCAAAATCCCGACATGCAAAATAGTTGTTTAAACTTGAGTGGCACCCAAAATAGCGTCAACGAGATGTCGGGATTTGGGCTTTCCCGATCATTGCTATCGGGATTTTGGCTGTCGGTATTTTGGCTATTTATATTTGGGTTGTCGAGATTTTGTCTGTCGGTATTTTGGCTGTCGGTATTTTGGCTTTTAGGATGATTGCTATCAGGCCTCAGCCTCAGCATCAGGTCATATATTTTCGAGACCCTAGATCGCTGTCAGCCGAAAAAAACTTCTAGAAACCGTACACAGTACAGTATGGAACGTGCATTGTCTTTTTCCTACAACAATGGTCACAAAATTGGGCAGTAAATGCAAAAAAAATGAGGATTATCTGCTTAATTGGGGGGGGGGGGGCTCCTGCCGCGATTCATCGCTCCACGGTTCGGTGGTTTTGCAAAATAGCCGCCGGCCAATTGCCATTATTATCGCTATTTTCCGTCTGAATACCCCGCCCCCACCGGCCTTCAAGACTTCATGGCCCGGATTTGTGAAAGAAGTGGGATCTATTTTCTGCATGCGATTTTTTACTCAATTTTTCACGTTTCGGGGATCGGGAATATCTCCGAGTCCGGGGTTGAGTTCTTTCTTTTTTTTCTCTGCTTAGTGAGCTTTGAAAACTTCACATTTTGAGTGCTCCAGTCGGGAGATTTATCCCTAACTCAGCGCTAAACTGACCTAAAAACAAATTCTCCTTCTTGGCCCGCTTCAGCACGTCGGTCTCGTAGCGCTCGCGGGAGATCAGGGCCTTGTTGTAGTGTTCGGCTAAAAACGATATTCTTCTTTCAGACGTTATGACACAGAACTTCCTAAAGAATCTTTGCTAGCCTGCCCTTTCCTCAAAAAACTCTGCTAGCCTGCCCTTTCCTAAAGAATCTCTGCTAGCCTGCCCTTTTCTAAAGAATCTCAGCTAGCCTGCCCTTTCCTCAAAAAAACTCTGCTAGCCCGCCATTTCCTCAAGAATTTCTGCTAGCTTGCCTTGAAAATTTGTTTTCCTCATGAATCCGTGCTAGCTGACTTCATCTTGCTTTACTTCGGAGTTTTTTTAATGTCTAAGGTTCTGTGCTAGTTTGCCTCTAGTGCCCTTGGGCTTTTCTCCCTAAGAACCCCTGCTAGCCTCCCTCCGGAAAACTAGCCTAGATCCTCGGGATAGACGATAAAAAAAACTTCGTTGCGATACAAAACCCAATTTTTTTTCTTGAAATGTGCCTTCCAAGTCTCCCTAGAAACAAAGAGCCGGTTTGACCAAAACACGGTTAAAATTACATGCGACACCGGGCTCGATTTTCCCCGAAAAGACCCATCCGACTCCGCTCCAAACCCTTAATTTGCCACCGAAACGCCGGCCTTTTCTAGGTTATAATTGAGCGGATTTTGGGAAAATAAAGTACATGTTTTCCCGCGCAAATTGAAACTACGATTCGGCATTAATTACGGCTGTATCTGTCATTTGGCGTCAAATTTCAGATGTTCCCCTTTTCCCGATCGTTCTTCTTAAAGAAACTCTGTCAGCCTGCCACTCTTTCCTAAAGAATCTTTGCTAGTCTGCCCTCACCTCCAATTATGTGTTCCTTTTTGTACGCATCCATATCATTGACGTCCAAAACCGAAAAATCGCCCAAATAATTGTCCGTTTCGTCGCCCTTTTCTTTCGCAATCATGCAGAGGACCTAGATTTACATAATTTTTGAGAGAGAGCAAGAGAAAGAGAGGGAGAGAGAGAGAGAGAGAGAGAGAGAGAGAGAGAGGGAAGGAGCCAGAGCGAGGGAACGAGACAAAGCGAGACAATAAAAAAACCGCACCAACTGCTGGATTTCCATCGAGCCGAACGTTTCCTCGGCGATTAGCATAATAATCTCTAGCTATTACGGTGGTGTAGTGTCGCGTAGTGTCGCGTACTCAGTACGACAGTATAGTACTTTCACCTGCGAAATCCGTATCTGCCCTCTGAACCAAATTGTAGCCTCCGGGAAATCGTTCAGCGGTGGGGGCCTAATTTCCTGGCTGCGCCAGCAGACCACTACGACCCGTCGCTAATTACGAGCCAAATTATGTGAATCGGGGGGGGGGGCCGAAGGGGGTGTAGAACGGGCTAACCGACTGCCTGCAGGGGGGTGTTGGCCTGGAAACCATGGGGGATGAGTGGGCCCTAAGCTGGGCCCTGAGTGGGGGCCCCACTTTCGGATGGGAAGCCGGAGACACCTGGCACGCTAGAGGATATGTGGAGGTGAATTTGTGAGTGACCAGGGTTAAAAAAATGGGTTTTGAAGGCGGTAGAAATTTATGAGCACAAGAAAGAGAGAGAGAGAGACAGAGCGAGAGAGAGAGATAAAGAGCGAGAGTGTCAGAGAGAGATAGACTTGCCTGTCCAAAGCTAAGTCTAAACTCAAGCCCAGCATAAGCCTAAACCCCTAAGCCCATGCAAAACCTAAGCTTAAGCTTAGTCGAAACCTAAGCTTAGGCCTATGCCCAAGCTTTAGCCCCGAAGCCTAAGCCCAAGCCTAAGCCTAGGCCTAAGCCAAAGCCTAAGCCAAGTCTACGCGAAAACGTAAACCTAAGCCTACACCTGCCTAATCCAATGCCTAACCCGAGGCTTAAGCTTTGTCTTAAGCCTATGCATTAGCCTAAGCCTAAGCCCAAGCCTAAGCCCAAGTCCAATCCAAAAGCTAGGCCAAGATGTCTCATTTAAAGGGACGGTGACAGCAAATTCACACCTCGAGGCATTACCCGAGAAAACAAAGAACCTACGCGCTTCATTCCCATGCTTCCGCAGCCCTACATTTTCGTCAGCCCCGTGCAGCCTGGGAAAGTAATCATATTTTGCCACTTCCAGCTTCATCAAAAATTTTGATTGAAGCAAGGTTTTCCGGAAAATCACTGCTATTTTTTGGATTTTCTATGACATTTTGGGGTACGGTTCTGTGTTCCCCAAGCCTCGTTAAACCCATTGTTCAAATTCCATTAGGCAACACGTAACGGCCGCCAAATTGCATTTTCTTTGAACAGCTTGAAGTCGTTTTCCAGACCAGAAGTGGGACTACGTTTCTTCTGCGATTTTCGAGGTTTTAACAATTTCAGGGTAGATGGCCCGAAATGACGCCGTGGTCACGCCGTTTTACATGGAGAAGCTTGTGTATAATTTATGGGTAAGCCCTAGCCTTAACTTAAGCCAAGCTTAAGCCAAAACCTAAGCCTAACCTAAGCGCAATCCTACGCCTGGGATAAGCCTAAGCCAAGTCTAAGCCAAGCCTAAGCCTTAGCCCAAGCCTAAGCATAAGCCTAAGCTGAAGCCTAAGCATGAGCCTAAGCCTAAGCCAAGCCTAAGCCAAGCCTAAGCCAAGCCTAAGCCATCCCACTTTTCAGTTAATCGAGCTCGTCTCCCTCCTCGTACTCAGCGGCTGCGTCGCGGCGTATATGAAAATTTTGAGGAAGAAGCAGGTGGGTGGGACATTTGCTAGGTGATACGGCGCCTTTAAAGTGGCAAATTATGTCATCGCTTTTTTTCCTAGGTGTAGACAGGTACGCACTACCAAAAAAGGTACAGGATATTATCATTTTAATAGCAAATATAAATGTTGCAGGCGTTTTTTGGAGTACCGCGTAGCTGTCGATTCCCACGCTCTTGGTTCCTTCATAAAAATCCTAAATTTTGCTTTGGCTAGTTGGCACTGTCCCTTGCAAGTCCCTTTTCCAGTTCTGTCACCCGAATCTTCTCGTGCTCCTCATCTGCCAACCTGCCACTCATCTGGTCATGCTCTACGGCCGGCCATTCCGGCATATCCTGTTCTTCGTCGGCGTCCTGGACAATACCGTCATCAGATGGTGGAACACTTTTCAGGATACGCGTGGGTTTTTTGGAATTGTCATAGCGATTAACAAAATTTGAGTGGTGAGCACCACCTTCCTGATCGTGCTCGCCTACTCGATCGAGCGGATCGTGGCCATGGTGTATGTGCATACCTACGACGAGATGTGGACGAAGCGGCCGACGCTGGGGATTGGACTGTATTTGGGAGCGGTGCGTAGCTGGTGATAGAGAGAGAGTGCGAGAGAGCGAGTGAGGAGAGAGGGAGAGCAAGTGCGCGAGAGAGCGCGAGATCACGAGAGAGAGCGAGAGAGAGCGAGAAAGCGAGAGAGAGCGAGAGAGCGAGAGAGAGCGCCATCTACCATCAGCCCATTTTTCAGCTCATCTACTCTTTCTTCCTGATCATCGTCTACAATTGGGGCTTACCCCTGCCCTTGGTCTACGGTAGCCAATATGTGCTTTTTACCGTCACCAGTTTGTTCTTTGTATTCTTGCGAATCGCGAGTGGGAGGGCCTATAAAAAAGTGGCCGAGCGGAAAGAAGCCACTGTAAATGAGAGGTAATTTGCTGACGATTGACGAAAAATGACAAAATACGAGCTGTGCATAAGCCTACGCCTAATCATAAGCCCAAGCTAAGCCCAAACCTAAGCCTGAGCTCAAGCTTCGACAACGTTATTTCAGATTCGACACAGCCCGAAATCTGAAAGCTTCCCAGCTTCTCCTCCGGGTCGCTCCCTTCAAATGCCTGACCAACTACGTCTCGCTTGGGTGTTATTTCTGGGTGTGGGAGCTTCACACCCCAGAATATTACCCGTTGTATGGGGTGCTGTACTATTACCTCAGCCATTTACAGGTACGCGTAAGGCCAGACCTAAGTTTAAGCCCAAGCCTAACCTAAGCGCAAGCCTAAGCCTAAACCTAAGTTTAAGCCTAAGCCTTAAAACTAAGCCTAAGCCTAAACCTAAGTCTAATCCAAGCCCAAAACTCAAGCCTAACCCAAGCCTGATCCTAACCCCAAGCCTAAGCCCCGTATTAGGTATTTTACTGGGCTGATGCCGGCAAGAAACCTCAATTTAGCTCTACGTCCAGATGCTCTTGACGATCCTGGGCCATTCTGTACTTGAGGAAGAGGCCCTCGCATTAATAGGCAGGGCGAAAGGGGAAAAGCCGGAGGAAGTACGAGATGTATTGGGGCGACGAATGATCTTCCGGGACGGGGAGATGGCGCAGGTACTTGAGGGTCTCCGGCGTTTTCTCTCTCTCTCTTTCTCTCTCTCTCTCTCTCTCTCTCTCTCTCTCCCTCCACTTGAAAGTTTACTTTCAGGTGTACCACGACCAGATGAAGAATGCGTGGGACGGTCCCCCGGGTCTGGGTCCCGATAAGAAACGACACTGCAGCGCCCCCGTTCTACCCATGGGACCCAGCCTCGAATCAAAAGCCGCCATCTACGTACCGAACGCCCTGAAAGTATAGAGTACCAGAAATTTTGTGGCTGTTCGTGTTGAATACGGAACTTTTTACATTGTTAGAAATGTGATTTTCACATTTTGCGGGTTTTAGAAGAATAAAGAAATTTTTTGAACGTACGCTGCAGCTAGTTTTTGACCGCTAGAGGAACGCAGGGAATCTCCGTTAGCCTACCCTTTTCTAAAAAACCACTGCTAGCCTGCCCTATCCTAAAGAATCTTTGCTAGCCTGCCCCTTCCTAGAGAATCACTGCTAGCCTGCCCTTTCCCAAAGAATCTCTGCTAACCTGCCCCTTCCTAAAGAATCACTGCTAGTCTGCCCTTTCCTTAAATCTCAGAGCAGTCCGATTATTGAAAATTTCAGAATTTTGTTCCAAGAACTCTTCGTTATCCGTGGGAAAAAATGGGAATTTTCCACTGCGCTTCCACCCAGGCGGTTAAAGCGGCATTCGTCTGTGATTCAGTGCGTAAATTGAAGTCGCGCGGAACTTCTTTCTTTGCGTTCTTATGAGGAATGTTCGTCTTTTTCTTACTGTTCCACTTTTTCGGCTAATCAATCCCCAGCTAGGGCAGGCTAGCAGCAATTCCTAAGGAATCCGAGGCAGCCTGCTGGAGATTCTTGGCAGTTTCCGGGATTCAGATATTCGTAGGCTGGGCTCGCGGCTTAGGCTGTGGCCCAGGCTTAGGCTTGGCGTAGGCTTAGTCTTAGGCTTAGGCTTAGGCTTAGGCTTAGGCTTAGGCTTAGGCTTAGGCTTGGCTTAGGCTTAGGCTTAGGCTTTGGCTTAGGCTTAGGCTTGGCTTAGACTTAGGCTTGGCTTAAGCTTAGGCTTAGGCTTAGGCTTAGGCTTAGGCTTAGGCTTGGCTTAGGCTTAGGCTTGGCTTAAGCTTAGGCTTAGGCTTAGGCTTAGGCTTAGGCTTAGGCTTAGGCTTAGGCTTAGGCTTAGGTGTCTATGCGCCTTTCGCACTCCCACCATGACTTCCGTGTGCCCCCGATCACTGAATCAAACCGTATTTTTTAATTTTCGTAATGCATTAGTCACCTAATGCAATTCCCAAGGGTTCGAATCGCAAATGTTCAGGTCATGGTAGACACATTTTTATCTATACTTTCTCTGTTGCTAATCCACCTGATTTAACTTTGATTTTCCGTTTTTGCGCTAAATGTAAAGAGCCCCGCCTACCGTATTTACCATGTCACGGCCCTGCTTCGCCTAAAGTGCGCTCAAGAGAATTCGACACCGCGGAAATTTTGGGAACTAAATTTCATGCACTTCGAAATGCCCTAAGCAGTTCCCAGACGGCCATCTCGGATTTTTGGAGCCGTTACTTTGATCAGGTTTTTGTGATTCATCACACTTGCGTTTGCGCCTTCCGGACGCTGTTTCGTATCAAGGGTGCAGGTGGCCCCCGTAGCAAATTGTGCCATTCAAAAGTGCGTCAAAAACAGTACCGGAAACGTCTTGGTACGTAACTTGAGCGGCCCGGATGCAGGTGCTAGGCTTTTCCGAAATGTTCACTTTTTCAGAATTTTTTTGAAAAATCGTTGTTCTCTTGCTTCAAGATCCCCCTGTTGCACCCACTCTGGAATGTACCAAAATTCCGTATTTTGACCACTCTCGTTTCAAGAATTCCTTGGAAAAATCACACCCCACGCCAGCCCGCAAACACTTTGATCGGCGTGGAAAAGTTTTCCGAGATTTCTGAGAGCATTTTGCTTTTGTGGGGCACGTGTTTTTTGAGCTTCGTGGCTAGACTTTGTGTTTTTTCTAGAACTAACTCGATAAAATGCCGAAAGGAGACGTCTACGTCGAAGATTTCTATATGAAAAGCCTTGTCTACAATTTATGGGTGGGTTCGAGAGAGAAGGAAGGAGAGATCGATAGAGAGAGAGAGAGAGAGAGAGAGAGAGAGAGAGAGTGCGAGGGGTGGGAGAGAGTGAGAGAGAATGAGAAGGCGAGTGAGAGAGAGCGAGCGAGAGAAAGAACGAGAGAGCGCTATAGAGAGTCAGCGAGGGTGAGAGAAAGTGTGAGAGAGAGAGCGAGAGAATGAAAGCGAGAGAGCGAGAGAGTGATAGAGGACGATAGAGGGTGAGAGAGAAACCGAAAGAGAGTGGGAGAGAAAGAGAGAGCGAGAAACCCTCCCTCTGATTCAGATCATCGAAATGTGCTCCCTCGTGCTCCTCACCTTCTGCGTTTGGGGCTACGTGCGTATTCTGAAGCGAAGGGAGGTAGAGTAACCCGCCCTCGCTTTCACGTCCCCTTAAAATCTCAGTTTTGTCACCCTAACCTGCTGCTGCTCCTCATCTGCCATCCTATAACGCACCTGGCGGCGCTCTATGGCCGGCCGATCCGACACGCTATCCACTTGCTTGGATTTTTGAGCACGAGGATTCTCTTCTATTGGAATCTGAGTGTGGACACATGTAGGTCGAATTTTGAGTGTAACCATGTCTCTAAAAGGGATGGGAAGACGGAAATCAGGAATTAGGCTTAGGCTTAGGCTTAAGCGCAGGCTTAGGCTTAGACTTAGGTTTAGGAGACGAAGGCTATGGATTGCCTTGAGGTGCCCTTTTACCATCAAATTCCAGTGGTGAGCACCACCTTCCTGATCGTCATGGGCTACACGATCGAGCGGATGGTGGCCATGCGATATGTGCATCGGTATGACGAGATGTGGACGGAGCGGCCAACGCTAGGGATTGGGCTGTTCATTGGAGCGGTGCGTAACAGCTTGGCAGGCTTAGGCTTGGGCAGGCTTAGGCTAGCTTAGTCTTTGCATTGGACTTAGGCTTAGGTTGGGCCTAGGCCTTGGCTTGGCTTCGGTTCGGTTTTGGCTTAGACTTGGCTCGCCTTAAGCTTACCTTCTAAAACCAATTTCTCCTATTTTCAGCTCATCTACTCCTTCATCCTGTTGCTCAACTACAACCTGTGGCTCCCGCTCAATATCGCATACGGAGCCCAATACGTCCTCTTCGCAACCACTTCATTTTTTTTCATATATCTTTATCTCAAATGCAGAAAAGCCTACCGAAAAGTGGCGCTCAAAAAGGAGTCGACCGTCAATGAGAGGTCGGTTTATCAAAGATCTTCGCCGCCTCTGCTGAAGAATCTCTGCTAGCTAGCTCGCAACCTCCATTTTTTTTGCAGATTCGACACGGCGCGAAATCTGAAGGCCTCGATGCTGCTGCTAAAAGTTGCCCCATTCAAGTGCATCACCAACTTTGTTTCGCTCTGTTTGTACTATTGGATCTGGGAGATGCACAGTCCGGAGTGTTTTCCATTCTATTCCGTCCTGTACTTTTACCTCAGCCATCTGCAGGTGGGCAACAAACTCTTTTTCAAAGGGACTGTGAGGCAAGGAATAGGAAAAGGCCTGCCTGTCTTTTTAGTAGCCTTCAGAGTTTTAGCTCTACTTCCAAATGATACTCACGATTCACGGCCACGCCCAACTGCGGGAAGAATTTTTCTGGATGCTCGGTCAGAAGCGCGATGACAATCCGGAGCGGGTCAAAAATGTGCTCGGGCGGAAGATGATCTTTTCGGAGCAGGAGCAGGCGATGGTGAGTTGCTGTCTCTCCTCTCCCCTCCCGTTCCGCCCCCGCCTCTCCGCCTCAGCCCCCCTCTCTGCCTCGCCCTCTCCCCCCCCCCCCCTAATCCTTCCTCCTTACCTCTCTCGCCTCTCTCTCTCCCCCCTCTCTCTCTCTCTCTCTCTCCCTCTCTATTCTCTCGTTCTCTCTTTTTCTCTCTATCGCTCTCGCTCTCTCCTCTAGTCTTTTTTCAGATGTACTTCAACCAGGTGAGCAAAGTCTGGGACTCCTCCAGGGGCGAGAAGGGCCAAGCGCAAGCTCGCGCTCCCGGACGGCTTCTCCCCCTCAGAAATACACGGGTTTACGCGGCCACCGAAGCGCCACATAGCATACAATAGAACACCTCAGGATCGATGCATCATTTGCGATAAATCACGTCTAAACATTATTTTTTAACAATCAATAGTTTGTACAACCAGAACTTAATTCCTCAAACGACAACAAAATTGAAACAAAAAATATTTAATCCATCCTCGGCCGATGATTAAACGAAGCCGCAAAAAATAGGAAAGAGCTGGTCAGGGCAAAGTAAAAACAGTACACAATCACTCCTGCGGTCAGATCTGGTGGCCGAGTCGTGGGGACGAAGAAGGGTTTTTCTGTATTTTTTGGCTGGATTTGAATGGCAGAGACATCTTGGACCTATAAATTCAGAGTAGGTAGCTTAGGCTTAGGCTTCGCTTATGCCTAGGCTTAGGCTTTCTACTACCCGACTCACCTTGTAGGGCACAAAGCCGGCAGCGTAAAGAGCGTGGGTGGCTCGAATCTTGGCGCACTGGGCGACGGTGTAGATTGGGACCTGCAAAAGTCTTGAAATTGAGCTTGAAACTGTGGCAGGCTATCAGAGATTCTTTAGGAAAGGGCAAGCTAGCAGAGATTCTTTAGGAAAGGGCAAGCTAGCAGAGATTCTTTAGGAAAGGGCAAGCTAGCAGAGATTCTTTAGGAAAGGGCAAGCTAACAGATATTCTTAAGGAAAGGGCAGGCTAGCAGAGATTCTTTAGGAAAGGGCAAGCTAGCAGAGATTCTTTAGGAAAGGGCAGGCTGGCAGAGATTCTTTAGGAAAGGGCAAGCTAGCAGATATTCTTGAGGAAAGGGCAGGCTATCAGAGATTCTCTAGGAAAGGGCAAGCTAGCAGAGACTCTTTAGGAAAGGGTAGGCTAGCAGAGATTCTTTAGGAAGGGGCAGGCTAGCAGAGTTTTTTTAAGAAGGACTCGCAGCTGACCTCCTTGAACTTGGCCGCTAGAATGTTGTGCTTCTCGCAGTCGAAGATCAGCTCTTGACTCGAATTCGGCCTCTGCAGCCCCGGCTTCAAATCGTTTTGGATCCAAGCATGCAGCTGGCTTTTCCGGATGAAGATCGTCTCGAGGAACGGCTACAAAAAAGGTTAAGCTCATTTTTAAGATGCTACGAACCTGGGCCGCCCAGAAAGTCGGTGAAAAAACGCGAAGGTTTTGAGCGAATTTCTGCTGATCCTGGGATCGAACCAGGAGTCCAGAGGAGAGATTCGAGCCGAGCAGGAGAAGGGCTAAAAAATGCAAGCTAAGCCTAAGTCTAAGCCTATTCGCATAAGCCTAAGCCTAAGCCTAAGCCTGAGCCTAAGCCTAAGCCCAAGCCTATGTCAAGCCAACGCGCCAGCTTAAGGCTATGCCTAAGCCTTGGACTAAACGTAAGCCTAAGCAGCTTAAGTCTATGCCTATGCCTAAGCAGTCTTAGCTTACCATATATCCCAAAGGCCATCGTACGACCCCGGAAAAAGTGCGCCAGGTTCCAGGCGAGGTAGCGGAAGATTCCGAGGTGGAGGAGAATCAAAATCGTTAGAATCGCGAGGTTCACCAGATTCTGGGGATGCAGAATCGTTGCGATTTCCTTAACGATTTTGCATTACGAGTTCCTTTAATGGCTAACATACCGTAATCCCGCTCATGGTCATGGCCGGAAAAGCCGCGAATAAAACGATGCAAAAGAGGGATGGGAGGTCGAAGATGACCTAGGAATCGTCTCTCTCACTCTCGTTTTCTTTCTCTGTCTCTCTCTCTCTCTCTCTCTCTCTCTCTTGTCCCTCGCTCACTCCTTTCCGGTACCTTACTAATGACGTGTGTCTTCGGCCCGTAGAGCCCGCTCTTCACGTCACCATACACAAAATGGCGTTCGGCATGGACTGAAGTTAATTTTTACAAAATTTTAACATAATTCTTTAATCAATGAGTTTTAGAAGCAGCGCGTACCTTGAGAAATATTCCAGAACCCGAGTAGGAGAGGTAGAAACAGAAATAGGCCGATCGCCAAACCAAAACGGTCTTCGATACCGGCACGCTTGTCGGTTGGTCTAAATTCTGTGAGTTCAGGGAATTCCTAAAGCATATCTGCTAGCCTGTCCTCCCACACTTACAAATCATAGCACAAAACTCCGAGTGAGCACGAAAACAGGAGGGCGAGCAACAGCTCGCTAGCGTAGCGGCATGGATGGTTGACGGCGACCCAGGCTTGCCTTCTGAAAACGGAGATGAGCTAGAGATAGAGCGAAGGAGAGAGAGATGGAGAGAGCGAGAAAGAGAGCTAGAGAGAGAGAGAGCTAGTTAAGACACCATCCACTGAATTTTCCCCACTCACCTTAACAAAACCCAAACTTTAAACAAGAATCCGGCAGGGTTGATCGGCGGGCAAACGGTTTGTATCTGAAAACCTGACATTTCCATCTCTCTCTCTTTCCCTCTCTCACTCTCTCTCCATCACTCTCTCTCGCCCTCTCTTCCTCCCTACCGTTGTCAAGTTCAGCACGGGCCGCTCGCGTTTCCACAAATCGGCTAGGTACCGTATCCGAGCCGCCGATTCTTTGGAAGAAGCGGCGGAGAGATGGTCATGAGTCACCAAGTCGACTAAATTTTCCGGTTTCTAAAAGATGTCCCGGTTACCGTAATAATCACATGGATTTTTTAGGGCTGGACATGGGAAATTATGCCTCTCGAAGTAGGGGATCAACTTGTGCGTCCAGTCGGCATAGATGATGCGCCCGGAAGCGAGGAGGACGGCTGAAGGAAAATTTAAGAATATCTGCTAGCCTGCCCTTTCCGAAAGAATCTCTGCTGGCCTGCTCCTTCTTAAAGAATATCTGCTAGCCTACCCCTTCCTAAAGAATCTCTGCTAGCCTGCCCTTTCCCAAAGAATTTCGGCTAGCCTGCCCTTTCCTGGCTGCCTGCTAGCTAGCAGAGATTCTTGAGGAATTTCGCAACCAAGATCCCAAATCTTTTGCTTACTTTTATGAAACATCAGCAGCGTCTCCATATTCGTCGGCGCGATTGCCATCAGGATAATTCGATTCAGCTTCACCGCCCAATCTCTGAAGAATTTTACTTCCACCAATTTTCAAAGTTTTTACCTCAAATAATCGACAATAAAAGCAACTTCGTAGACATCTAGGTCCCGGAGGGCATTGTCCACAATGAGTATATCTGAAAAAGAAGGCATCCACCTGCAGAAAGCCATATGTTAGCAGAGACCATTTAGGATGCAGGCGACACCAACCGGTATCCTTCAGAATCGCCACAGCAATCTTGGCGCGCTGTTTTTCGGCTTCGGAGAGGTTTTTGAGCAGTCTATGTTTCACTTGAGATAAACAAAGCGTTTTGATGAGTTGATCTATCTAGAAGATCGAACAATTTAAAGTACACCTTCCGTAATACCATGTTTTCAAGTCGAAAAGCCGCAGTGGCCGGTTGCTCGAGGTAGCTCATGAATTTGAGGTATTGCAGAACGGTTAGGTCGCTTGGAGGGGCGTCGATAGGGACGTGGGCTAGAGAAGATATTTAGAGAGAGAGAGAGAGAGAGAGAGAGAGAGAGAGAGAGAGCGAAAGAGAGGTACCGGCACGCCGGGCGAACTGTTTCAGCGTCAAAATATGGCCGTTCATCGAGATTTCCCCGCGAAAGCGACCCTCTGGTGGATGCCGGGCGGCGAGGAGATGAAGGAGGGTGTGGACTTCGGTTTCTGAAGCTTAGGCTTAGGCTTAGGCTTAGGCTTCGGCTTAGGCTTAGGCTTAGGCTTCGGCTTAGGCTTAGGCTTAGGCTTAGGCTTCGGCTTAGGCTTAGGCTTAGGCTTCGGCTTAGGCTTAGGCTTAGGCTTAGGCTTCGGCTTAGGCTTAGGTTAGGCTTAGGCTTAGGCTTCGGCTTAGGCTTAGGCTTAGGCTTCGGCTTAGGCTTAGGCTTAGGCTTAGGCTTAGGCTTAGGCTTAGGCTTAGGCTTAGGCTTAGGCTTAGGCTTAGGCGTGGGCTTAGGCTTATGACTAGGCTTAGGTTTAAACTTATACTTAGGATCATGCTTAGGCTGCGACTTAGGCTTACGCATAGTGATATGCCTACCATTCGTATAAAGTAACGCCGTGGCCTCGCCGCCCGTCAAATCGATCGTGACGTCGTGCAGACTGTGGAGGTGGCGCCGGGCCCTAAACGTCATTTTAATTTTACTTTTGAGCCCAGTTACCGTAAGCACATCCGGTCCATCGTCGAGCGTAGATCAAGTGAAAACGACAGCCTCGTCAGGCAAATTTGCGGGCTCCTGAAGCCGATTTTTTGGTGTATTTGGAAAGTTTTGAAATGCCTGCCATCTGTCGATTGCTTTGTGGCTAATTTTTGCTGACTGATTTGCTGACTGAAGCCACAAGAAACAAACTTTCTGCTCCGGTTCACCGGAAGTTCCGTGGCTGCCGGGTAGCCAAGGCGGTGAACGGCCGGCCGGACCGGTTCGACGACCGGAAAGTAGTGGGAATTGTGCCGGATCGAGCCGAAGAAGAGGCTATTTTCGGGGCCGAGACTACAAAGGAATTTCCTGATTACCTCTCATTTTTAGCTTGCTTACTTCTGAATCTCCGACTCGGCGTAGTGCGTCTCCAGCGTCGGTTCGGTGGGCCCGCTTCCTGTATCTGGCGGGGAGGGGCGGCTTTAGAAAAATGCGTTTTACAAATATTTTTTGAAATTTGAGAATATTGTTGAAACGCTAATACGTATTATAGTAGCCATACTGCATCAATCTCTGCAAAATAGCGTACCTGTCCGGCCACTCCAGCTTTGGGCGGCTACGCCCCATCTGCCTGGCTTCTTTGGGATGGGCTTTGGGTGCTGAAACGACCGATTGGAGCTTAGGCTTAGGCCTCGGCTTAGGCTTAGGTTAGGAATAGGCTAGGCTTAGGCTTAGGATTAAGCTTAGGCTTCTGCTTCGCTTAGGCCTAGGCTTGGACTTAGGCTTACGCTTGGGCTTCGATTTAGGCTTAGGCTTAGGCTTCGGCTTAAACTTAGGCTTAGGCTTGGGCTATAAGGATTGGCTTTAGGCCTATGTTTAGGCTTAGGCTTAGGCTTAGACTTGGGATTAGGGGTATCAGTTCAGTTCCCCGACAATCAGTTCCCCGACAATCAGTTCCCCGACAAATCAGTTCCCCGACAATTATAAGGTGCTATTTTAACGTAATTATAATGGTGGTATCATTCCCTAATTGTCGGGGAACTCATTGTCGGGGGAACTGATTTGTCGGGGAACCGATTGTCGGGGAAATGATTTGTCGGGGAACCGATTGTCGGGGAACCGAGTGTCGGGGAACTGAGTGTCGGGGAACTGATTTGTCGGGGAACCGATTGTCGGGGAAATGATTTGTCGGGGAACCGATTGTCGGGGAACCGAGTGTCGGGGAACTGAGTGTCGGGGAACTGATTTGTCGGGGAACCGATTGGAATTCGGTATTAGGCTTAGGTTTGCTTAAGTGCGACCTACCAAAATTCGTCTCGTTGGTTCTGCGAAGCCCTTGCCCGGTCTTCTGGTTGTTGGCTTGGGTCCCGCCGGTGGTGTCCTGGCAAGAAAAAGGTCAGTAAAATTCTTAGGGGAGGGTTTTGGGGTCCACACGGCTACAAGTAACAGTCCGGATCAATAGCAAGACCTCATGGGGGTTAGGGGGTGGCTGAAGGGGGGAGGACTGTATAATTGCCCTTCCTGGGTGGCGCCTTTCAGGATCCATCCTATACAAAACCGTCCAGAACCTCGAGGGACTCAAGGTTAAGGTGAAATTTGCATAAAGCATGGCTACGATAGTTACTGATACCATAAAAACTACTATAGACCTTAATTTCAGTTTTAAAAATACAATACTAAAAGGTTATAATTTCATTTTAATTTAATTTAATGGATTTAATTAAATTTTAATTTAATTTAGGTATTTAATTATTTAAAGAGAATTTTATTAAATTTACCCACCACCTCGCAGCAGCTCCATTCGGCCAGCCTTTCGTTCCAGTCGGTAGATTGCATTGTCAGAAGCGGAAGTGCTAGAGGAAGCTAGAGAGAGCGAGAGAGAGAGAGAGAGAGAGAAAACTAAGGCCAGAAATAAATTTCAAATATGGAAATTTTGTGTTAATGCTGCCAGGTGGGGACCGATCGCCAAGCCGGGCCAATTATCGACCTGCGCACCTGGCCCCCCAGGTCCATGTTTTTAACGGGGGGTGGGAAGGCATGGGTGAGTCTTTTTAAGGGCTCTTTGGGTCCTGCAAGGAGCTAATTTCAGATTGCTTATTTTCTTGTACCTATAGTTTCGATTATCGCCTTACGAGCACCTTTAAAACGACTGCGAGCGGAAAATCAGGGCAAAAATGGTTCCACAGCGATTCCCAAGATTTCTGGGAAGAAGAGGATAATCCGTAGAGTTGTCCTATTTTGGGTCCTGCCAGGAGAGAGAGCGGGAGAGAGAGCGATGGATGGAGGGAGAGAGAGAGAGAGATAGAGCGAAAGAGAGAGCGCGAGAGAGAGCGAGAGAGGCAGAGAGGGAGAGAGAGGGAGAGAGCGAAAGAGAGAGCGAACGAAAGAAAAAAAGAGAACGCTTGAGAAAGCGAGCGCGAGAGCAAGTGATACCGAGATAAATAGAGTGCGAGAGATATCCTGAGAGAGGCGAGAGAGAGAGAGAGAGAGAGAGAAGAGGGCAGAAAGTCAGCTAAGAGAGAGAGAGAGAGAGTGAGAGAGAGGGGGGGGGAGAGGGAGAGAGAACGTTTAGACTGCATAGCTAAAGAGAGTGAAATTAATAAAGACACCCAGATTCTTTGTGATCTGTATTTCTAGTGACTCTTTCTGTATTTCCTTAGTTTTTCATGTATTTCCGTGTGACTCCAATTTACACTAAAGTGGACTAGTCACTTTATTGACCGCAAAAATCCAAATTCCACAATGAAACCGTCGAGGGGTGGGGCCTTGGGGGAAAGCCGTAAGGGAGACGCGCACAAATAACACAATAAAATTGACAAAACACCTCAAATAATCATACTAAAATTCAAATCAAAAACCTTTGTACATGAAAGACTGGCTGAGGCTGCCGGGTCGACGTTTCAGCTTGAATTTTGCGAAAAAAAAATCGGTCGACCCGGCAGACTGGTGGCAGTGAGTTGAGCTTTGGCAGTGGTGGGGGATTACGGTACCGTCCGGGTTACGGTAGGTGGTACGTAGGGCTCCGCCGCTGCCAGACGGCTCGGATTCTGGGGGTGGGGTGTGCGGGCTCCGGCTTAGGCTTCATCTAGGCTTAGGCTTTGGCTTAGCCTTGGGCTTAGACTTGAGCCTTGGCTTACCTTAGGCTTAGGCTTAGGCTTTTAAAGGACCATTGAAGTCTCGGCTCCTAGTTCAAAATCCGGGCCGTCTCACTAGAATAACTAGACCGACAGCCGCCGCGGCCGCGCGGCAGACATATTTCAATTTTTTTGGGTTTTTTGAAAATATGCAAATTAGGGATTTTCAAGCAAAAGTCCTCATTTTTGCATATTTAAGGTAATACCGTAGGAGTACGATAACTTACGCTACCGTACCCCACAGTAGTAAATGCTTGGCAAGTGTGGATCTCCGAATAGATGGTGATGAATTGGCGGGCGGTTCTGGTCGTTGCTCTACACAGGGGGCGACGCTACGGTACTCCGTGGGGCGCGTTTTAGAAAACACGTCCCGAGGGCCCGCGCGCAGAATGGCAGTGAGAATAGCAAAAATTTAGAGTGGGAGTTATGCAAATTAGGCATCCTTTTTAGCTTGTGCTTAGGCTTAGGCTTGCAAGAACCTTTAAATAAAAATGACAAAATTTGCAGAATTCCCTCGACATTTTAAAGCATAAATCGAGCACGAATTCAATTGAAAAACACATAGAAACGGCTAGGCGGACTAGAAAAAAAACAGGAATTTTTGTAAAAATTAAAAAGGAAATTCTAGGCGGCACTATCAGGGGTACTGTACAAGAAATACGAACGGGGCAAAACGGGGCAAATTTAGATGTAAAATGTTATTCTTTTCTGGGGCTCTGTACACATCACCGGGAGCACATCTCGGCGCTGCGTGCGGCCACGGATTTCTGAAAAAAAAAACGTGATTTGACTTGGGCTTGGGCTTGGGCTTAGGCTTAGGCTTATGCTGAGGCTTATGCTTAGGCTTAGGCTTAGGCTTAGGCTTAAGCTTAGGCTTAGGCTTAGGCTTAGGCTTAGGCTTAGGCATAGACTTAGGCTTAGACTTGGGCTTAGGCTTAGGCTTGGGCTTAGGCTTAGGCTTAGGCTTAGGCTTAGGCTTAGGCTTAGGCTTAGGCTTAGGCTTAGGCTTAGGCTTAGACTTAGGCGTAGGCTTAGACAACTCACACATAGGTGGAAGTTGCGTCCCCGTTAGACAGTTTCCCATGGCGTCCTGATCGGCGGATTTCTTGTGGAATCAGGATTTCTAAAAACTGTCCCGGTTACCGTACTCCTTTCGGAAAACTCACCAATATTATCGGCAATATTCAGCATATTCTCTGCCTAGTCCAAAAAAGTTTTTTTGGTGTTTATCTGGGGGATGGGCCGGTGTGTCGACGCGCCATCATCAGATAGCTGGCGGCTGGCTAAAAATTTATAGAATTCAGGGATTGCAAAATTCCAAATATTTTCCTGTCTTTCTTGCCCCTTTAAAACCCAACCCTGATCTACTGAGTCGTTGTTTCGATTTTTCGAATCCCTTGAGTGTGGTTGGTTGCATTGCCCGATCGACCACTCACCACTCGTGTGCCATCGGCTTCTGGCGCTGTAGGAGGGGACCGGTTTTTTCGGCTGTTGCTCTTTCTCGCCCTCTCTGCTTTATCGCCAGCCGAGTGCCAGCCAGCCAGCCACCCTCAGGCGGGCCGCCCGAGCCCGAGGCGGCTCGTGTACTGTTGCCTGGAAAGCTGAGTATGTTTTTCGCAGAGAGAGCGAGAGAGAGAGAGAGAGAGAGACAGAGAGACAGAGCGTAAACTGGAGAAACAAAGATGTGGGCGAGACACAAAGTATAAAAAACTGCCTTAAACTATCTAGAAGATATGCCCAAAAACGAAAAATTAGACATAAGGAAAGCTCGGAAGAGCGAAAAAATAGAGCGAGAGAGAGGGAGAGAGAGAGGGAGAGCGAGTGAGAGAGGCAGTGTGATAGATAGTCGAAGGACCACATAGAATTTCGAATTTCTAGACAATAACGAATTTGCGTAAAAAAAAAGTTAGAAAGAGGAATCTCGAGAAAAAGAGCGAGAACGAGAGAGAGCACGAGAGAGAGAGAGAGTGAGAGAGAGAGAGAGAGAGAGAGCGAGCGAGCGAGCGAGAAAGCAACCAGAGACCAGAAAAATAACCAGATAGCCAGTCAAGAAATTCCCAAGACTGGTCCCATTACGCAAATGAGACGGGTGGGCAGCCCCCCCCCACTTCAACGTCCCTTTAGCTATGCAGTCCAATCGTTCCCTCTCTCTCTTTCTCTCTCTCTTTCTCTCTCTCTCTCCCGCTGCAAAGAAATGTGCCTTTGTCCCGTTTTGCTGAGATGTGTGTGGTGTGACCGCTGGATGGGGAGTCCAGGACCGGCTGGCAGCCATAAAACGGCTGCCAAGCTACGCAATGTAGAAAAGAGTAGGAGGGAGCTGAAAACGTAACGAGTGAAATTCGCTGTCCCCAACCCTTTAAAGCTAAAATACAAGTCGTAATCGAGTGTCGAGGGGAGCCTGGTGAGCCACGTTGCTGAAAGCTTAGGTAAAGGGTTAGGCTTTGGTTTCGGCAGAGGCTTGGGCTGGGGTTTAGGCTTGGGCCTCGATTTAGGGTTAAGTTAGGTAGTCTTAGGCTTAGGCTTGGGCTTAGGCTTAGGCTTAGGCTTAGGCTTAGGCTTAGGCTTAGGCCAAGGCTTAGGCTTAGGCTTAGGCTTTGGCTTAGGCTTAGGCTTACGTGAGGCTAAGGCTTGGTACTCGGCTTGGGCTTTGGTTTAGGCTTAGTCGTCGCTTAGCCGTTGATATGGGCTTAGGATTTGGCTTCAACTTATGCCAACTCAAAAAAGAACTCGAAACGCAAAAAGTAGCCTAAACCCCTATGACTCTACTATAGTATGCCGAAACAAAGCGGTAAGCAAAAACCGGGAACCGAGTGAGATAGTGCAAGGAAAGAGGAGGGGGCGGAGAAGCAGGGGTGCCAAAAATGCGATACAAGCCGGAAATCGCCGGGGGAAGGGGAGTGGACCCGCATAAACAAGCCACTATACGAATCGGGTGGGGGGAGGGAGGCGGATGGCATGCAAAAGGGGGAGGGGAGGGGTCTTTTGGCAAAAAAAGAGGAATGGGGCGAGGGGGGAGAGAGAGAGACAAAGAGAGGGGTGGGGAAAGAAAGAAAGAAACAGAGAGCGAGAGGGAGAGAGATAGACAGTCGAAGCTAGAGCATACCCAAAGCAAAGTACTTAGCAAATTCTTGTAAACTAGAGTAAAGCCGGGTGAGAGAAAGAGAGAGAGAGAGAGAGAGAGAGAGAGAGAGAGAGAAAGGACGCCACAGTACTCGGAGACTCCGAGCTTCATAAAAGTCCGGCCCCCTAGACGGAACCAAGGCCAAAAATACAATAAATCGACAGAATCAGCCCCGCTACAGACACACGCAGCCCCACACAAACAAAAAGACGTGGAGGGGCGACGCGGAGCTTCCGCCTGCCGCTGCACCCGGGCACCCCTCGAAAAAGAAGAGGGCCGACGACCGGACCTGAGAGAGAGAGAGAGAGAGAGAGAGAGAGAGAGAGAGATGGCTGCACGCGAGCTCGAAGCACCCACCCCGTTTTTGCGGGCGGAAAACTGGTGGGGGAAGGGTAGACGGGGGGAAGCAATTTTCACATTTACGCATTTTCACAGAAACTGGAATGCTGGAAGCATAGGCTTAGGCTTAGGCTTAGGTTAGGCATAGGCTTAGGCTTGGGCTTAGGCTTAGGCTTAGGCTTAGGCTTAAGGTTTTTTGGCTTGTAAGAAGTTTCTAGAAGCTCGCGCCGACCTCGTGCTCCCCGCCCATGTGCTGTTCCATGTACCCCCGGTGCATACCAGAACCCATAAGCCGCTGAGCGGGCGGGAGAGCAAGGTAATGGGCACCTTGGCGGTGTGATGACGCTGAAAAAGTAATTCTCCTTCTGTCACCACCATCGCCGCCAACTCGATTCACTATACGAAATCCGGGGAGTTAGGTGGGAAAAGCTGTGAAAATACCGGAAATTGGAAAGTGCTGGCTTTCCTACAGAATCTCTGCTAGCCTACCCTTTCCTAAGGAATCAATGCTAGCAGGCCTCTCCCATCGTAGCTACAACCTTAGCGGAAGTATTCTCAATAATACCTTCCGATTAAGCTACTAAAACGCGGTGTACACAGTACAGTAGCGGAGCGTAGCTATTAACGTTAATTGTTGCTTCCCTCTCTTTTCCAGGTCTTTTCTTTGTCATTACGATTGTCATTATACAAGTTGTCGAACCCCAAAGTAGCTAAAATCAGCGTGATGCTACAGTAAGCTTTTGGAATACGAAATTGTGTTCTTCCAAACATCAAAAATCTCGGTGAGAACACTGAAAGTAAAGGGGGAGCGTTTTTTAATTCGAAAGCTGCGGTACAAAATAGCCTAAAAAAGCAGCTTCAGTGTGCCGGCGGCTCGAAACCCCTGGGAATTCATCTCTAGCGCCACCGCAGACGTGTAGGCAATCCATCTGAACCTAGCTAGCCTGCGTTTCCTAAAGATTCTCTGCTAGCCTGCCCTTTCCTAAACTTTCTCTGCTAGCCTGCCCTTTCTTAAAGAATCTCTGCTAGCTTGCCCTTTCCTAAAGAATATCTGCTAGCCTGCCCTTTCCTAAAGAATCTCCGCTAGCCCTTCCAGCCCTATGCAAATCCCGTGCCGTTCGGACCCCCCAACAACGAGTTGCCATAGTTACACCGTTGCGTTAAGGCACCTCGCTAATACTGACCCCCTAATTTCCATTACATTTAAACCTATATTCAACCGCTCATACGATAGCTTAAATCCTAATTCTAATTACTATTAATGGCCGCCGGGGCCAAGGAGCTGCTCATCGTGCTGCAGCTCGGCATGATCATCGCCGACCTGGCGTTCAACCTCGCCGACAATTTGCTGCATGCTGACAATATGGCGCTGCTGATGATTTATATGTAAGTAAAAAGATTTGCAGAGATTTGAAATAGAAATATAAGCGACAAAAATGCTTTTTCAGCTTTGAAATAACGTTGAAAACGCTCTAAAATGCTAAAAATCCGTAACTAAAACACATTTTAGACTTCAAGGCACAAATCTGGTGCTTTCCGTAATTGTTCTCGTCATCTCCTTCAGCTCCACCTTCGTTTTCCAGGTAAAATCACGTTTCCAAATTGGGTTCTTTTTCATTATCGGGGTGACCAATTTGTTTTGGATCGAATTTTAGAAATCAAATAGTGGAAGCGGTTCTAAATGATCTTTTACTGTTCCTAAACATGAAAACTTTACAAATTTTTATTTAAAAAGAAATACCAATAACGATCTTTAGACCATAAAAGCCGATTTTTGCCAAATTTCGAATTTTTAAACATTTTGTTAAAGTTTCTAAATAGTTTTCTAATTAAAATATAGTTATACCAGCCGATTACAGCCGCTTCGCGACTGCAATCGGCTGGCCTTCGGGCTACCCTCCATGTTCTACGCCACCACATTAAATCTCTACCTTCATCAGTACCCACGCTGATCACCTCAAATACCTAAAGTTCGATATCTTGCAAAAACTTAGATACCTAATCTACTTAGATACCTTCCTGATGGCTTCAGATACCCCCCATAGCCGAAGCCCCCTTAAAAAACTACCAAAATACCTTCCTGATGGCTTCAGATACCCCCCATAGCCGAAATCCCCTTAAAAAACTACCAAAATACCTTCCTGATAGCTTCAGATACCCCCCATAGCCGAAATCCCCTTAAAAAACTACCAAAATACCTTCCTGATGGCTTCAGATACCCCCCATAGCCGAAATCCCCTTAAAAAACTACCAAAATACCTTCCTGATGGCTTCAGATACCCCCCATAGCCGAAATCCCCTTAAAAAACTACCAAAATACCTTCCTGATAGCTTCAGATACCCCCCATAGCCGAAATCCCCTTAAAAAACTACCAAAATACCTTCCTGATAGCTTCAGATACCCCCCATAGCCGAAATCCCCTTAAAAAACTACCAAAATACCTTCCTGATGGCTTCAGATACCCCCCATAGCCGAAGCCCCCTTAAAAAAACTACCAAAATACCTTCCTGATGGCTTCAGATACCCCCCATAGCCGAAATCCCCTTAAAAAACTACCAAAATACCTTCCTGATGGCTTCAGATACCCCCATAGCCGAAGCCCCCTTAAAAAACTACCAAAATACCTTCCTGATGGCTTCAGATACCCCCCATAGCCGAAATCCCCTTAAAAAACTACTTAGATTCCATCCCGACACTTTAAATGATTTAAATAACGAATTAACATAATTAAAACATATTAAAAAGTATTAAAGTAACTCAAAAAAGGCATCTGGGCGCGGGAAGGGCCTTGGGGAAGAGGGGCGAAGAGAAAGGGGGCGTGGCCTCCCGGGGAGAGGGCCCCCACTCGTTTTATTAAGGCGCCACTTTCAAAGTTAATTTTGATAATTTAAACGAAAACTTTTTTATAATGTTTTGATCATTTAAGGGGTTTCTGGCCATGCTCTATCCGAATCCGAAGAGACCTAAGCTCTAGCTCCTTTCCCCTTCGAGTTATAGTTGGCTTCAGACGGACAGACGGACACCACAGCAAAATTATTATAGTTGATAAATAACGAATTAACATAATTAAAACATATTAAAAAGTATTAAAGTAACTCAAAAAAGGCATCTGGGCGCGGGAAGGGCCTTGGGGAAGAGGGGCGAAGAGAAAGGGGGCGTGGCCTCCCGGGGAGAGGGCCCCCACTCGTTTTATTAAGGCGCCACTTTCAAAGTTAATTTTGATAATTTAAACGAAAACTTTTTTATAATGTTTTGATCATTTAAGGGGTTTCTGGCCATGCTCTATCCGAATCCGAAGAGACCTAAGCTCTAGCTCCTTTCCCCTTCGAGTTATAGTTGGCTTCAGACGGACAGACGGACACCACAGCAAAATTATTATAGTTGATATTACTAAAAACACTATTAAAACATATAATGAACTTATTCGGCATTTCTAGGCTTAAACAGAAAAGTCCACCCCCCCCGATAATGCAAAAGCACCGCAAAATGAAACGATTTACTTTTAACAATTCCTTAGGCTGGCCTCATCTCATTACTGCTAAAACAATTCTCGCCAACCCTGATAATAGCCGTGTTATATTTAGTACTATCCGTCACACTTCATTTCTTCAGTTTGGTGGGTTTTTGGATGCCGCAGAACGCAAATATTCACTCAACAATTGCAGAGGATGCGCTGGAAAAGCCCGGATAGCCTGCCGTGGGCTTCACCTTGGCTCGCAGGGCTGTACGTGATACAAAGATTAGGTGGGTGGGTTCTTTCGCGTTTAAGGGGGGCAAAAATTTTTATACGAATCTAGAAATGCCTAATGACTTAATAGGACCTATCTAAAAAGTGAAGCAAAACTTTATTTTAACTAGAAAAACTATGAAAAATTTTCAAAAAGTCGAAAGTTCGGTCAAAAAGCGGCCATTTTTCGTCGAAAAATCTATATTTTTGCACTTTTTTGATGCAAATTGGTAGTTTTAACGATTAGGAAAAGCAACAAACGGTTTAGAAACACTGCCGACTTTTTATTAAAAAATCATATTTTTTTTGTGCCCCCCGATAATGGAAAAGAACCGGTTAATGCCACCTAAATAGTCACTAACAACCGGATTTAGCGGCAGTGTTCTACTATTCGAGCTACAAAAAGACGGCCTTCCTCCTCTCCGATCCGCGCTTCCATTCCGACAACAAGTGGCTGCGGGAGCAGATCAGGACCCGATAAACTCGCCGAGATCTAGAGTTTATTACATTACCCGACAAAATCTGAGCATGGCAAATCACAGTCGAATTAATTGAGACAAATACCCGATCAAGCCCGAAACAACACATGTTATTCCTTGTGCAAAATTAGGGCATCCGATTTCATCCTCGCCAACGCGTCCATGAATCGCAGGTCGGGCTCGACGATCGTCAGAGGTTCGCCGGCCTCGTCGTCCGCATCCAGGGACGAGCGTGTATCGTCTACCAACTAAAATTTTGGGATTTCGGTTTTTCCGTGTTATCGGGGGCGTACATTTTTGTATAAGCTAGAATGTCTAGTAGCTAAATGAAGGAGTTAATCGTGTTTTTAGTCAAAAGATACTAGGAAAACTATCTCAAAAGTTTTAAAACCTGCAATTTTGGTAAAAAATCGGCGATTTTCAGTCGAAACTTCTTTTTTGCATGTTTGAATCGGATCCTAAGAAAAAAGTTGGTCCTCCCGCTAATGCAAAGGAACCGGGGTGTCTGCTAAATTCAAAAACTCGAACCTTAGTGTAGAAGCCGAATATCGTTTCGTAGTCCGGCTGAAATGTGGCCGATGGCGGTGTCCCGGAAATCAGTCCGTAGGCCTTGGTGATTTGCTTGTTGAGCTCATCGACCGTCTGCTCGATTCGGTCGTAGATATCGGAGATTTGGTTGCTCAGATTGGCGCATGCTCGCTCGCTGGCTGCTGGCCCGGCGGCCTGAAAACAAAAATTCGTGTTAATCGAGGGCAACTCACGCTCCGAACGCCCGCCTCGTTTCTCCGTAGCGTCAGATACGACTTTTTCATGTCCTGCGCCTGGAAGAAAATGGAAAAAGCATGGATGAAAAGGAGTTACCTCTCGAACAAGCTGCTTTAACCTCAAATAGTCGTTGTATCGGGCTTGACACTGGAGCGCGAGTTCCCGGTAGTCATCATCGCCCGACCGATCTTCCATCGCGGAGGAGAGACCTATAAAATGAGATTATGAAGAAAAAAAAGAGGAATATCTTGAAAAAATGAGAAATAAACCATCTCTTAGTGCGTTCTGAGTCATCGAAAACGTTGAAGAACTTTCGCCATGCGTTTCGCGCTCATTTTTTTCAGTTTTATTATGTTAAATCTGTGTAAAAAGTTACATTTATTTAAAAACTTTAATTTTTTTACATTTCCGGTCCTGCCGGGCAGCCCAGCGCCCATTGTTTCCTATTTGGCGACCGTGCGCCCCGCCCCACGCGTCGCGGCAAATTCTCTACACGAGAGAAAAATCTAAACCCCCAACTTTGGCGGCGAAAATAAATATAACTTTTTAGTTTTGGGAATTTTGTTTTTCTTTTATATTTTTGCTTGTGACAAAGAGCCAGATTTTTGAGGTCGACCAGTCACTCGGCTTCCTGAAACCCGTTTTCCAAGCCCCGCTTACTTTTAACGTTTGCCATTTTTTTTTTTCAGAAATCAATCTCATTTCCCTTTTCAGTGTATGAGCTACACGAAAAAGATCGCCGACGCGTCGGTGCAGAACCGATCGACCAGCCCGCTGATCGCGTGGCTGCGCCGGAAACTGCTCGCCGTCGACCGGCTGCCCGTCACGCCGCCGCCCGGTATTGCCGGACCCGACGGAAAGGTGCGGGTTTTCTCTGGTTTCAAAACATTATATGTAGGCCATCTACCATAACCCTTCGCGTTACCCGAACACGCAGTCTGCCCGCAGCCTCGAGCCTGCAAATCTGCCCGGCGGTATGTTGTACGGTGTATTTTTTTAGCTTCCTTTGTAGGGGTCCATCATAAACTTGCGGCCAACTACTACTTGGAGAGGGACGGTCGACGGACCGTTGAGCCGCCACCAGCCATTTATGAGGCTGCTGGGAGCGCGGGTGCTTACAGGAAGCTGACCGGCGAAGAATTGAGGTTGGGTTTTTAATTTCGCCTTTGCTAATCGTAGCGCTAGTCGGTCTCATCCATTTAGCGGATTTTTACTTTTATCGGCGCAGATAATATTGATATTGATGATAATTTGTGTTTTAGCCGAGCTGAAGCCTACTCGAAGGGCCCGGGCGAGAACTTTGGCCTGCAGGCGCCGACTCCTGGCTTTGGAGCAGAATGGAAGCGAAGCAAGCACGAAGAGTTGGACACGCAGAAACACGACCAGGAAATGGCCTACTTTGAACGGTTTGTTTTGATATCGTTTTTTGGGGCTTTCTCCGCGAAACCATAAGGTAATTTTTTGCGTTTAGATTCGACCGCTACGCCAAGTCCACCTAATTCGCCATTCAATTGATTATAACCGTTTTCCCATTGCTCGTGAGCATCCATACGGTGTATATGTGTATATGTTAACAAGGGTCTTACTTGTAGGAGTGAATAAAGCGTTAGATAAGTTATTTGGAGTTGAATGTTGATGTTCTGAGTGTTAGCAACACCGACTACCTTTTTCTTTGCGTTTTTTGCTCGACTTACCCCGAACATCAGATGCGCGTCACGAGCTTGGTACGCAGTGGCCGGAGCTGGGGTAACCTGGGGAAGGTAATTTGCTCTATGCGGCGTGATTATTGTTGTTTTTAGGTTTATGGCGAGTACCGGATGTCCCTCTCGCCCAACAACCAGTCGGTGCTCCACGGATTCGTCAAGCAGGCCTTTATCAACGTGAGTTTTGAGCCGCCTGATTTTTTTCGTGCGTTTACCGTTTTGCATGACAATGCAATTCACAAGCTGGAGCTAGTTAAGTTTGATGGCCCCAAGGGCGTCAAAAAAATTTTGCCGATCGGGCATCCCCGATCGGCGTAAAAACGACTATTCTGGGGTAGTTTGATGCGCTGAGTTCGAATTTGTCACTTTTAGACTACAAAAATTTAATTTTAGACTACAAACTACAAAAAGTCGCAAATCTCCAAAATACGCCAAAAACACCTCTCCGGGGTGGTTTTACGCGCTGAATCCGAATATAACGATGCCGCAACGCGTAAACCCGTATATACTATACACTACAACGCAGAAAATCTGAAACTTAACAACAATAAATTTAAATGCTGTGAATCCGCAAGCCTACCACGGTTAACGTGATTATGCCATCGGGTCCCGCGGGTATAATGTTATTGCAGCTCGCTATAAAAGCCGATTTCTGAAATGAATTTCACTTTTATGCTCACGCATGAATTCTAGTTTGGACCACCCACGGGGCTTCTCTGTATTAGACCTTGCTAGGCGGTACCCGTTGACTACTTTCGCTGTCGTTATTATGACTGGTTGTAAGCCTGGGACCGCTTCACAGCACTCGGACTTGTCCCAAATGTGGCTTACAAGTCACGAAATGATCAAATATAGGGGTTTGCGCGTTGCGGCATTGCTATATTCGGATTCAGCGCGTAAAACCACCCCGGAGAGGTGTTTTTGGCGTATTTTGGAGATTTGCGACTTTTTGTAGTTTGTAGTCTAAAATTAAATTTTTGTAGTCTAAAAGTGACAAATTCGAACTCAGCGCATCAAACTACCCCAGAATAGTCGTTTTTACGCCGATCGGGGATGCCCGATCGGCAAAATTTTTTTGACGCCCTTGGGGCCATCAAACTTAACTAGCTCCCACAAGCTCAGTCTAAAAAAGAAAACTTTTTGTTATTCACACTTTCGCGAGTCTGCGTAGCGCATTCCTGTTTTTCGGGGCTTTCGATTTTCGCGAATTTTGACGCGCGTTTGGTTCCGGGATTGTCATCTTAGTGATTTTAGCTATAAATTTTCACTCTACTTTTTCAGACTTTCAAGACGTACATCGTGAGGAACGGCCCCTACTACATCCCCCAGGCCCTCATCTGCTACTACATCTACGACTGGGCCAACAAGGCTAACTGGGATGTAAGTGTTTATATGGTTCCCCAGACCTTTGTGTTTTTAGGCCAACCGCAAGAACCCCGCCGACTACGAGAAGGACGCCGCCTAAAAATTCTCGCCCTAGAAGCTTAACCCATATTTTCTACTGTGTAAAATAGCTCGATTGATTTTTGCAGGTACATGGTGTTTTTTGTTAGAATTGACGAATAAATCCATGAAAGTCGTGTGGTTGTCAAGATGCAGGATTAACGTTTTGGGAAAAACATGTTGTGAGCACATCTATTGACCGAGGAGAATGAGCGAGCGAGTTACGGCTATGCCGGAATAGCATTTAGCGCGTCATTTTAGTTTTCGCATTTGCTCGAAATGGCACCCGATAAATACAAGGAGGACCTTGTCGCTCTCAAGCATCAAATTGAGGAGAAACGCCGAATTATTACCGAAGTTTTGCGAGGAGCCGCAGAGATATCGACAGAAAAAGTTTGGGTCGACACTGTATCTGAATTTTGGAATTTAGGGCATCACCCTTCGACGCGAATTTCGGGCTAAGAAACTTGAAGTGAGGACGGCGATCAGTGAGGCGCTGCGCATAGAGGAATTCGACTTCTGGGTGATCAAGCTCGACTTTTCGGGAGAGCACGAGAAAAAGTAGCACCCTTTACGTTTCTAAGGATCCCGGGTTTAGACGGTTGTTACCCTCGATGCTTCCTGGAATTTCTGCAACGTGGGCCCTGTTTGACCCGGAGTGGAGAATGATCAGCTGTATTGAGTGAGAAATTCGGATTCTCGATTCCTATGGCTTCTTTAGCCCGTCTCAACCCACGACCTTCGTGTTGTCTGCGCGTTCGCTAGAAGTTGCCCTGGAAGCGCACATCCAGCTCTCGCTCACCTTAATTCCCTATCGTCCGTTTCCGGAACGGGATCAGGAATTGGGCGAGGTTTCGGATGTGCTGTTAGAGGTATGATTTCGCATATATTTAAAGTTATTTTCGTTTCTAGCTGCCGCGCGCCACCATCACCTCGAGAATTTGCGACCTCAACGAACACGGGAAAAACGGTACAAAAGGAATGATATAACATTAAAGTCTATTTTAGGGATACTGATATTCATCCGCTGCCTCGCGGTGGCGTACCACGAAATGGAGACCGCGGAATTCCATAGCGAATTGCTCGAGCGGCGATTCTCGGGCAAATTCAAGATCTACGATTATGGTTCTTTTACGGTGACTTTTGGAATTCGGGTAAAACCATTGTTTAGGTCTGTTTGGGACAAGCCGAATTCACGAAATCCCTCATCTACGCGCCGCCGCACATGCGCTCCAAGCTATGTCGAATTGTTGCACCGTAAGCGTCAAACTTGTCTGCCGCCCATTCTCTTCTTCAGAAACGAGGAGCTGGCGATCCGGATAGCCGAACGACTGACGGGAGAATGAAACGCCAACGCCGATCGTATAAATACTGTTTATCCATTGACGTACATATACAAATACCCGAGCAAAGTTGGCCAAATTCAACAACAGAAAACGAACAGATGATACATGATATAAAAACTGGTGAGTAAGTTCAATGTGATTTTATGCGACGGCGTTGTTGTATTGGAGGAGTCGTTGTATGGTGGTCGGGTACCTGGAAAAGAGAAGATGTCGAAAAAGGAACTTTCGACTCACCACTCAAAATTCGCCGGATCATACATGTAGACGACACCGGCACTGATGTAAATCGACAGCGTGCCGAACCAGAAGACCTGGTGTCCGTCCTTTTGGCGTCCCGGCTGCGGCGTGAACGTGATGTCGTAGGCGCCGGCTTCCCGCTCCAGGATCTCGCGTAGCGTCAGTTGTACAGTTCTGGAAAAAGGGTTGTTGAGGATAATGTAAAATTGACTTACGGCATCGCTGGCATTGGTGGCGGGCGGACGGGCATCGGGGGTGGCGGAGGCGGAGGGGTCTGGTGGATTGGCTAAAAAATCTGTATGAAAAATTCAGAGGCGAATACCTGTGCGGGTGCGCCTCCGACACGTCGGCCCTGCGAAGACGCGTGGATGGCCACCATCGCGCGCTTCAGGTTCTCGGTTATTGTCGGGAACTTGTCGACGAGATCTTGCGGGAATCGGCCCTTCCACTCGTTGTACCACGTCAGGACGTCGTTCACCACGGCGCGGTCGCCGGGGGCGCTGTCCAGCCACGCGCACACTTGGTCGAACCACTAAAGCGGAGAATTCAATTTTAGGAGGAAACCCACCCTCGGGAAGAAGTAGCGATTGATGATGTTGACCAGTATGTCGTCGTTGATCAACTTCCGCCACTGAAGCACCGCGCCAAACTCGGGGCATCTAAAAAATCAAAAATTAAATCTGGTGCCAAAACGATCACGTCGGATTGTCGACGGGGTTCAGGTTCATCGTGACGAACATCTTCTCCAGCGCCGGGACGATGTTCTAAAAAAAGATAAGTTACCTAAAAACCCAAAAACACACCATATTACAAAAAGCCGACATGGTCCCCTGGGCCCAGACGCCCTTCCACGGCGTTAGCATCACGAGGGCACTAGAAACGGCGGAATTTTCGCGAATTAAAAAAACGTTATACCCAGGGTCGAGCGGGGTCCACATCTTCAGCGCGTGGGCGAGTGCCTAAAAACTTAATTTTAAAGCCAAAACATGTTTGTACCTGTCGAATCGGGGCGAAGACGGGCACCAGTCTGTCGCCCATGATGTCGAGCCACGGGATCAGCCACGAGTGGATGGGCACTGGAAAAATGGTGATAAGCTCGCTAGGTGTTTACAACGTCTTTAATCGAACCAAGATTCTAGCCAAACATGAAATTAAAATTAAAATCGATTTACCTGGATCCGTCAGCGGGTTCCACTGCTGCGCCGTCTGTTCGATTTTCGGGACGATGATCTGAAGAGAACGATCTTGAAGAAAATATAATTAACAACTCACCCTATCCAGCAAATTCTCCTTCATCCAATTGGGCATTATCGGCAGCCAGTGCTCGACGACGTCGATTAGTTGGTGATGCTGAAAAAAATAAAAAAACCTTCAAAAGTCATAACAAATATATAGAACGCGCTCCAGGAAACCAAAAAGATCTTTTGACGTCATACGATCGAGCTACGCTTCAAAATGCAGAACTTCAATTAAAAAATTATAACATCCCCAAACGCTTTGGGCTTGGAACCTTCACGCCGCCGGAAAAAGGAATACCTGTGTCCGGGGCTCCCATTGTAGCACGGCTCTCCGAATCGCCGGCATCCACCTGTCCCACATCAGTCGATCGAAGGCGGCCAATTTATCTAAAAAAAGTTATAGATTTTTGAACTTCCACTAACCCATAGCGACAGCCTGAGCCGGGAACATCTTGGTGTCGGACGTGGCGAGGGTCTGAAAAAAGAAAAATCACTTACAATTTAAATAAAAACGCACCTCCCGCCATCGCTTCATCATTTCGATGCCCTGCGTCGTCTGGTCGGGCTCGAGGGGTCGCCAGCGAGCGAAGAAGGCTTGGATCTAAATGAGAATGAATTTTTACCCCTCAAAAAAGTTACGAGTGGCAAGACGAGGGGCACCGCGGCGGCGTCGAGCTGGTAAAGTCGATATTCCATCGGGAATTCGGAGCGCGGCCGCTGGAACAGCTTCTCGCACTCGACCATGGATGGTTTGGGCTTGCTGGAGAAGCTGAAAAGACACACATATCGATTTGAATAATTTTCGGTGCCCGAAAACGCAAACTAGAAAACCGTAAAAACGCACTCATCCAGCAAGTTGAACACGCTCTTCATCCGGTCGTAATCGCCCTGGGCCCGGTCCATCTCCTCCTTGGCGCGGTCGTAGTCGTGCTCGAGGGCCACGGTTGAGTCCTAGACTCAAATTAGAATTTTAAAGCCTTTCCAACCTTTAGAACCCCGAGTTGATGATTTGTTCGCCGGATGTCCTCCTCGGTCAAGTCGAGCAGCAAGTTGATGTTGTGCGTCAACTCCGGGACGTCGAAGCGCCCGCGCGGCTCGTCTTCCGCTTCGGCTCTAAAAATATATGAAGCTAAAGCTTTCAAAGGTTACTTGGTCTTGAGGGAAAATGCGTCGTAGCCGCTGTAGACGCGCTGCTCGGGGCCGGTCATGTCGATGACCTACAAATTAAAGTTGAGCAGCTCTAAAAAATTACCTTCGAGACGGAGGTTCCCTTGAGGGCACGGATGCTGCCGCCGTCGTTGATCACGTCGTCGACCGTCCTGTAGACGGTTTTGACCTATAAAAGGGACAACTGAGCTCAAAAAGTTGCTAATACCTTTGTGGTCTTCTTCCAAGTGCCTTTTGGGGGTGCTGGGGCCAAAGGGCGGCCGCCGCCTCACTGGCGATCCGCTTTTGTGCATCGGCGGGGCTTTCTGAAAAAAAAACAGGATTTTGTTTTCAAAATCAATGTTTTTAAAAGCGGAAATCAATGTTCTTTCGCTATTCGGGGGCGGGAGACGCCAAAATTTTCTAGCAATCTAGAAATCCCAAGTAAAAGTAAAGTAAAAGTAAAATTTTCAGCGCATTTCGAATAAAGGAACTAGATTTAAAGTGAAAAACACCATACAAACAAGTAAAAAAAACATTTTAAATAGAAATTTGGGTCGAAAATCAGTAATTTTTAGTATTTTCGTATTCAATCGCAAGGTTTAAAGAATCTTCAGAATAAGCAAAGCCGTTTACAGAAGCATCTCCCCTATACTACGACCGAATCTTGAAGATAGAAAAATACCTCCAAATCTGGGGCCCGCAGAGCTGACCTCCTTCCCGTACGCGCCGACGGCACCGCGCTCCGGTCGTAGCGCCGCTTGGACCGGCTCGGTGATGCCCTGCTTCTGCTTGCCGAGACCTTTGCCTTCTTCCCAGCCCATTTTCTAAAAAAAACAAATAGCTTTCTCGATTTAGTTTGCGTATACCTTCATCATATTCTGCAAGACATTCCCCTTTCCGGACTTCGTCAGCCAGTCGTCCATTTGCGCGCTGTCGACGGTGGAATTGACGGTCGAGGAGCGCATGCCTTAAAAAAACAATTTCAAGTGATTTTCTAGATTACCGGCAAACACATTGGCCCCTTTTTGCTTCTTCTGCGGCGGCGGCGCGGACTTTTGCTTCTTGTTGAAGTTGAGCTCGATCGGGGAATCCTAAACGACAATTACAAAACTGCTTCTAAACGCACCTCTTCCATCTTCGGCCCCATATTGTTGGTCGGCGGGCCCGCACCGTCCTCGCGCTCGATCTTGTTGCCCACCTTGATGCCGCCGCTCACAAAGTTCACCGGCGCGTTGTAATTTGGGCGCTTCCTAAAAACAAATATTGGGGCTAGCAAACTCGAGACTTACTTTCCGAAAGCCGGTCGCGCCACCTCATCCTCGTCCGACGAGCCGCCGGCCCAAATCCCTGAAAAGAAAAAAAATCAGCGAAAAGCTAAACTACGAACCTAGCGCCGCTTGCTCTTTCGTTTGACGTCGACGATATTTCCCGGGGTTCATCGCGAAGTCGAGGTCGGCGTCGTTGACCGAAAACTTCTCCATCCCGTCGTCGTCGTCCATTTTCGGGCTAAACGGTGTTTTTAGAAATAAAATTTTCAAGAATAGATAGAGAAAAGAAAGAGAAGGATACCGAGGACAACAACTTTTTTTCCTACTTCTTCGTTTTCGATTTCGAATACTCCTCTCTAAATCGTTCTAAAAGTAAAAATTTGAGATGTTAGGAAATTAATAGAAGTGTGATGGTTTAGATAGTCGAAAAGTGGATCTAGAGGATCAGAAAGAACCAAAAAAGTTCCAAAAACCGGGGCGAACGCCTGCTCCTTTTTAAGAAAGTGACCCGCGCGATGAAGGGCCCCGCGAGTGATGTATCCGAAAGGGGGGAGGGGTGGTGCTGGTGCTGAGATCGGGATGACACACTGATCCGCGCGCAAACAGATCGCGGAAGGCCCGTAGGAGGCCGGGGCCAAAACCCTAGGGGAGACTGTTGACAACTAGTTGTTACCATCGGCTTTAAAGCACCGAGTTGTTAATCGGCGCGATTCTGACAATTTTGAAGACTTAGAGTAGTTTATCACAATTGATCAATCACAAAAAATAAATACACTGAATTGCACAGGTCATTTGGCGATTTGCATAACTTGGGCGTGGTCTTCAGTCGCTTGTTGTTGAAGCCACATCGTAGAGCGTCTCTTCTGGGGTCCTGTAAATTAAAAAAGTAAAGCTTCCGTGAAACCCTTACCACTCAACGATTTCGCCCCTTTCCTTGCATCTCCGTAGCCACGCTTCGGCGACGATTGTCCAGCTAAAATAAGAACATTTAAAAAATTTAATTTAACTGTACCGGGCTTCCTTGACGCGCTTGTTCGTCTGCGGCACATTCCTGTCGACAGCGACGAGGAATTTAGTTTGATCATCTACAATTGTATTCTTAGAAAATGGGCTGCCGGTTAAACCTGGTAAAGCCTGCACCGTAGCCCCGAAGCCCTTCAGAATCTCGACGAGCTCGGCCAGCTTCTTATCGCTGCGCCCCGGGATCACGCAGACGAATTGCCCCTCAAGGCCGTCGTCAATTTTTTCGGCCTTCGCGTCTTGTTTCACTGGAAAGCATATACTACACTACGTTACGCATCAAATGACGTACCGCCTTCGCGCGCCAGTTTTGCCCTAGAGATTTGGGGCTGCTTGGCGGGGCGCTTTCTCGAGGCGGCCGCTTCCTGGTCAAGCTCTGGCAGGCCACCGCTTCGGATTCGCTACAAAAACATGATGCACAATTTGGCAGTCACCTCATCCAATTCCTTGAAATCGCGATACGTATCCAGGTCCTTCAGGTCCTTGTCGTTGCAGAGTCGCACGAGACCGGCGTGATGCAGGGCGCCATTTTGCTTTCCGGCGCAGCGAACCTCGACTACCTGAAGAAAGGGCTCTTGATCAGATTAAAATTTTCAGGATCACCTTGAAATCATCCCAATCCCGAAAATAGCCTCCATCTTTAATTGGCGCGCCCTGGACGCCGGCGGGAGGGTCAGAAAGTAGCGCGCCCGTCCGCCGCCCCTCGTCCAGCACCCAGCGACGCTCGTCCTGCGTTAAACCTGGAGATGAACAATGGTTATTATTTTGAATAGACCCAAATTTAGAAGTTAACATTTTTTACCTGCTCCAACTGATCCGATCACTTTCAGGTCAAATGTCGCATCATTTGCCGGCTCGGCGTATTCTTTCGACATTTCGGAAAAGCTACGTTGCTTGACGGCAATGACGAGTTCTTGTTCCCTGGCGGTTCCCACGTATTTCACGCCGACGATCGCCACATCTAGATGCGCACCCTCCGTCAGATTCACCTAGAGGAAAATAATTACGTAAATTTAAGGTAGTGAGCGTAAAATTGCTATTTTATTTGTAACAACAGTTTTTCTTACCTTAAACCACCCATTGGTTGCCAGCCGCTTGCCCGGGGTATACAACGTCGAAACGGCCTTGACCACGATCCCCTCATCGCCATTTTCCATCGACTGCTTGAAGTAGGCCCGCACGTCTTCTCTAAATAAAGTTTGAAACCATGATAATCAATACTGAATAATAAAATAACTGAATAAAGCTGCGAAAATTCACTTTGTATTCCCGGTTTTGCGTTCCGGGATGAAAATGAGGGTGGGGTCCTGTTTTTTCAGCAGCAGCTTCTCGAGCACTTCTATCCGCTTGTCAAACGAGGTTCCCATGAAATTGTTGCCATTCAGGTAGAGGACATCAAGCACCTATTTTTTCACGAATTGAAAAATAGAACTTTTTGTACCACAACTGCTAGATGGACCGGATCCGCGGGTTTGATGTGTTGAAAATTGTAGGTTTGCCCGTCGGCGCAGACCTGGTGATGCCGGACTAAAAAGGAGATACAATTTTGGTCTTTTCCGCCCCTTTTTCCGGCGAGAGAACAGCAAGGGCTCTTTAAAAACCCACCAAAGCATTTCCCGACCTCGTCGTACAACATTAACTCGCAATCGATCACAAATTCATTAGCATCGTTGCTAAGCTTAAATTTAAAGCTAATAAAAAATCTGCTCACCGAAAATACGGCCTCACAGCTTCTATCAAATTCTTGTTGCCCTCGTCGCCGTTATAGTACTTTGTGAAATCCTTGCCGTTTCGTGTAACGACGCGCCAATCGTCGAAATTCTGCAAAATGGCGTCATAATCCGGAATTTGCCAAACCTTGTGTATCACCACGTGCTCCCCGTCAAATTTTAGCTCCATCAGAAAATTCGAGCCCGCGTGATCGTCGATCTAAATTAAAGAAATTATACTTCTCAGTTATGCCTTACCTTTTTATACCAATCTGCAATATCGAGCCTCGCTAGCAACATCGGCTCAAAGTTACACATCAACGGGTAACCGGGCTGCTCGGATTGGAGACGTTTTTTGTAGTCGCGAATTTCCTAAAAAAGAATGGTGCTTTAGAATTACGGGGGGGCAATTTTTTCCTGGCGGTCCCGGTTGGCCTAGTAATCAAATATAAAGTGGTTTCACATTGTTAAAACTTTTCGAATCAATTCACCAAATTTCGAATTTTCAAGACTTTTTAGATAGTTTTTCTAGTTGAATAATAGTTTACGGCATAACGGCAAAAAAATACACAATTTAGCTGTGACCTCACCAACGAAAAAAAATCAATCAGTAGGTCGTCAGTAAAAAACCAGACGAGCTGTTTTCGGTCCACTGTGCTACCCGCACCGTCCTCCCGCTCAAAATGGTTGCCCACCTTAAGCTGTTGGTCGTTGTCACATAATTCCTCGAGTGCATCCCAGATCTGTGGAACCTAAAAACAAAGTATTATTTCGATATACGGGACCAACCGTCGGGCTATTCGGCGCATTGCTTGAGGTGGTGAAGACGCCGGCCTCCATGTTGAGACGGTGGGCTTCGCAAATAAACCCTAGAAACTTCAAAAATTTAATTTTTAACTGTTTCTCACCAACTGCAATGAACGGCGCGGGGAAGGGGAGGATTTCCAATTGGCAAAATGTTGCCTGGCAAATTTGCCGGGCCGACTCCGCGAGGGCTTTTCTGCCCTCAACCTTGGCGTCGTCAAAAATCTATAATTTGGGCTTGAAGCTAAAAAGCAATTGCTTACTTTGATGTAGGACTCGAGATGTACTTCTGTAGCGGCTTTCTAAAGAAAGTAGAATGTCGTAGTTCTTACTAAAAGCGTACCAAAACTTCCTTATCGAGCCAACGCAGGAGGCTAGGCGCCCATTTTTGGCAATTCGCGTCCGAGCAGTTCGCCTCTTTTCTCCCCAACACGGCCCATAGGACGTCTACGTGTAATTTCGTCAAACCGGTTGACTTCATTTTAGCCAAAAGTTTTTGGACACGCAGACCGCCTAAACACAGAGACCGTCGCGAACCGCCGAAAAGCTTACCTTCGTTTGAATATTGCTCAGGAAAATACAGATGCAATCTCTTCTTAATTGCTTCAACTTGCCTCTCGATCGGACCTGCCTTCTCCAATTCGTTCTAGGAAAGAAACGAGGTCATTGTAAATACTATTGGAAAAGAGGTCTGAGCTATTTGAGTTGGACGGCCGGAAGGGCACTGAAAGAACCTTGCACGATCGGGCCGCTTCAAAAGCAAGTTTTCTGGGTTAGTTTTTCTGCTGAGTTCGAATTTCACTTCTTTAGATTTCAAAAACTTAACTTTTGAACAAAATTTACAAATCAAGTACAAAAGTCAACACTGGACAGGTTCTTTCAGTGCTTGTCGGGCCAACCCACTGCCAGAGCTAGAAAAGGTATACTTACTGCGAAATTTAAAAGGAGGTTGTTGACCTTCTCGTTTGTCGAACTGCTGGCATCCATATCGGCGTCGCGTTTCGGGCTGGCGCAGACGCGCAGGCCCATTTGGAACGTCTGGCGCGGCAGCCCATCGCTGAAAATAAGGTTTTTGAATGGAAATTTTGAAAACTGACCCAGTCAGGTCGAAGATCAGGATCAGCGGCCGGCGGTTGATCGACGAGCACGAGGAGAAGCAGGCAAACTGAAGAAAATATGAAGTCAAGCCATTGCTAAACCTTCAGATTCAGGCTATTGGTCGGCGAGATAGCGATCGCGTTGAAGTGGTTGCCCTCGGCCGCGAGCATCGCCGGGTGATAGCCGTCGTCTGAGATCTGCATGAAAAGCCGTTGTCCCGGGGCAACCGGTTTCGTATCTAAAATAGATTAACAATTAAAGAGTTCTTTGCATTATCGGGGGGGGGGGGGGACCCAACTCGTCTAATATAAATGGATCAAGGGTTTCCGAATTATTTTTTTTTTGACTAAACCAAAAGATGAAATAAAATTTTCAAGTGTTTTTAGTGTTTTTCCACTTCAGATATCAAAACATAGCTAAAATTTTTTTGCTCAAAAAACCATCAAAACACCGGCTATGCGGTGCTCGGAACTCCTCCATTTGTAGCTAAAAGTTGGTTCCCCCGATAATGCGAAAGAACCCCCATTCAAGAAAGGCTTCCGGCTCCAACCTTCTTCTTTCTGATGCACCGGGCACATCTCGACGTACTTCTCCTTCAGAACACTGTCCTAAACACAAATTAAACTGTTGTTTTCAATAAATACTACCTCATAGCGAGCCGATATCGCCAAGCAGGCCCCCGGCGCGTTGTAGTACTCGAGCGGGATGTTGAATTCAAAGGGGACAATCCCCATCTTTGTGAAGAGCACCTGCCGCGATCCCATCGGATTGGCACTTTCGCGAACCTAAAAATGGAAGGTTTGTTCATTTTATCGAATCAAAAACTCACCAAATACTTGAGGGCACGCTTTGACTTTTGTTGCTCGGGGACGATGACTTCGAATGGGGCAGCGAGCTCCATCAGCTTGTCTGTCGAGCGAGTGTGCTAAAAATAGCATATTTTAAAGTGAAGTAACAATCTATCCTAATTGTACAGAGTTTTCATTATGAAGACGCAGAAATAAACGAATGAAAACACGCAAAATAGAAGATTAGTAGTTATTTTGTTACTAGGTAACCTATAAAGACTAGAAATTATTCCTTAGGCATTAAAAAACCTGTAATGAAAACATCATTATAGTCTTATAATATATTGTAAAAAAACAGCGTGAAGTCGCTGTCTTTTCTTCAAATACCCCCGGCTCTCTGACAAGCATTTCCCCTTTTTTTCCTTAATCTAACTTAATAATAAAAAAATATTTTACCAAAACGGTTTAAGAATGTTCAGAAAGCATGAGTCAACATTTATAAATTGATTACGAACGTTAATTAGTACGAAACACGCCGAAAAGCGGTTATTTTCAAAACCACCTCCCTAGACCTCCCTAGTGCAAAAGAGGACCTATCCGGAGTAGACGTCAGGCTCTACAAGATGTTGGTTGGCACAAAGTATTTTTAAAGGGGCTCGGAAGTCAAAATTCGCGCATGTGGGGATTGAGCCTACTAATCAAGAAACGAAAGGATTACTGCGGAGAAGCACCAGAAAAGTAATTTCGCTGCGAAAAACCGTAAAATATTTGAGTAAAATCGAAATGTTCTTGGAGCTAGAACGACATTTTTGAATGGGCGGCGATTACATGTCGTAATGCCTGCAAGACACCCAATCTCTCGATCTCGGTGATTCTCTGATACATTTTCATCATTAAAACGTCTAGCATGATCAAAATTCGACGAGGATTACAGAAATAGCGTCAGAATTTTTCTATTCAAGGGTTTTCACGTCCAAGCAGGGACAAAAGGACATGCGGCACGGTCGCATCTGGCGCCAGGAATTTGTCAGGAATCAACGCAGGGGACCGTGGACCAGATCTCGGAGCTCCTTTAAACTATGGAAAAATAATGAGTTGCAACCGTCATTTGCTTGTGTTTGCTTAAAAGTGGCTGTTGCTCAAACGTCGTTGCGCAACTGTCATGGTCCCCACTTTCCCGTAGATCTGACTCGCCGCGTTTTTGGGCTACGGTGCTGCAAAGTATACAAAAGGGAGCCGAAAAGATTTTGGCTGATAAAAATAAGCGATGTATAAACGTAAAAACTCGGCTTTCGGGGGGGGGGGGGGGGGGTAAGCTAGAGTTTAGCCTTGTAATTTGCCGCCGGCAGGCAATTCATATAATTCGACCGCTCGACCGCTTTTTCGGCTAACCGTTTAAATAAGCTTTATTAAAGCTAATATTACAAAATTAAGCTTTTTATTATTAAAATATACTTTCATTTGGAGCATTATCTACTAAAATCGCGTTTTCGTCGTATATTTCAGGCCTTTCCAGTGTTAGATTTATCTATTCCTGGCGGTAATAATTTTTAGTAGTAATTTCGGGCATTTTTTTAACCTATCGAATCACATCTGCCCGAATTGCATCCCATCGAATTGCATCCCATCGAATTACATCCCATCGAAATTACGACTCGTCGAAATTACGACTCATCGAAATTACGACTCATCGAAATTACGACTCATCGAAATTACAACTCCTCGAAATATCGGTTTCTGTCAACCAAATTTTTTTCGGTCCAAGCCTAAATTTTTTTATGAATAGCGGATGCGTTTCTAAATGGTTTTTAACTATTTCTAAACATAAAAACTTTATTGATTTTTATTAAAAATTTAATTTTAGGTCAAGAAACGGATTTGTTTCGGCCAAGAATGACTAAAATTGGACCGGGCAAAAATTAGTATTTTTTGAAAATTCGCTTAGCTGACATTTCTATGAGTCGTAATTTCTATGAGTCGTAATTTCGATGAGTCGTAATTTCGATGAGACGTAATTTCGATGGGATGTCATTGGATGGGATGCAATTCGATCAGATGTAATTCGATGGGTTGATAGCAAATCGTAATTTCGGTATTACACTTAATGGAGGCAATACTTCAGGTGGCAGATATTCAGGTGCTAGTGCGTTAGTATACTGCTCTCTACCGCTTTTTCTTGCACCTTATAACAGTTCTGGTTAATGTATCACAAGCCCTTGAATTTAAAGTCAGTGAGTGTAATTTCAAAGTATATTAGCTATCGAGTCGGCTCTGGCACGTTGAATAATTCTCTATAGAGGCCGAACCGATGACAAAGAGTGAATCGTCAGCATCATCTTGAAATCATCATGAGACGACAGTCAATGATAGTCGTGATTCGTATACCTGCGGCTTCTCGGTCTATGCGTAACTATATTTTGTTAGCCAGCAAAACTGACTTCATTACTTAAGTGCTTGAGCAATGCTAAGCTCAGGCGTGGCTTTTACATGATCCTAAATCTCTGGCAAACGGCTTCTGGGTACTTCTGGGTAATTGGGGCAGTCCGGAATTGGTGGTAGAGGCGTGTAAACTATTTCTTGCTGCTATTCGCTTAAGTCTGGGCTTAACTTAGCTTTAACCTATCGCCTTCAAAGGTCTAAATGGGCTAATTAGGGCTTAGCCTCGCTCAAGCTAAGCCAGAGCTTAGTTTGTATGAAGATAAGACTACGTTTCGGCGTAGATTACAGCTTTGTTAGCTTTTCCAAGCTTAGAGTTATAAAAAACGGCGTTGATGCGTCTTGTAGTCAAAATCCTGTCCGTCGTCCAAGCGCATAAGCACCCCTTTCGCCGTTTCGCCGTCCATGAGCTTAGCTTCGGCTTAGGTTTAAGTTACTTTCTAAAAAGAAATATTCAGCTAACATCTTTCTATCATGGAAACGTTTTTGAGATAAGGAACTACAAAATATAAACAATCATAAACGTGCAGAAAAGACTGAAAAAAAGATAACGGTAACGAGTTAATGTATGATGATCTACAGATCTACAGATAAATATAATTTGGTCGCGTATCTTTGTGTGTGTGTGTCCGGCGCCAGGGAGGGCTACTTAGCATAATTTCAAAAAATACAAATTTCCTCATCCTTGCAAGTTGCACGCGCGGGTGTGGTCGGAGGAAGGGAGGGGTGCGAAGGATCCAAGCTATCGGAAAGTCAAATTTCTCATGCCAAGGCCGCGTTCCAGCGCCCAAGGCCCGCGAAGCGGGTTTTGGGCGCTGGTCTACAGATAAACCGTTTGATACGCTAAATCTATTTAATTTACTAGCAAGATGCTCTGCTGCCGACGTAAAATAAAATCTTGAGTTCAATTATTACAAGCTGACAGCGACGACCACTCGGTACAACAGTATACCACGGCAACAACAGTTGAATTAAAGTTTTTCGATACTAAATCTATTAATATATGAAAGCGAGGGTAAAACTGATCGATAAAGCGCCGATGCAAGAGTATTGGGGGCCCCTACAAGCCAGGTTTCACGATAAAGTACTCCCTGATATGTTAAAATATTAATTAAAGTATATTTTAATAATAAAAAGCGTAATTCCTTCTGTTTCTGATCGCGTGTTCGGAATTTTGATAAAATACAAGTTTACAAAGTTAAAGCCGATTTTATTCATTTTTGGGGTCCCTGAAGGCTAATTTGCATAATGTGAAAAAAATAGAAATAGCCTCATTCTTGCAAGTTACGCTCGCGTGTGTGGTCCGTTGGGGGGGGGGGGGGTCCGAGGGACCCAAGATATCGGAAAGTCAAATTTCTCATGCAAAGGCCGCATTCCAGCGCCCAAGGCCCGCGAAGCGGGTTTTGGGCGCTGGTCTAAAATAAATTCCTGTGGATGAAAATACTTAACGATGCCTTTTCCATCTTTTTAACCAGCCTGCCTGCCGGTAAAGCTCGTGGTGCAGCTACGGCTCAGAACCCTCCAACTTGGTCAAGTGACTGAGGCCCGTTATTAAGGGTTCTGCCAAACCGTTTTTTGGTCGCCAAAAAAGCCGTCCTGCAGCCCCACCCCGAACCTTCAGAATTTTTTTGTGTAGCCGGTCTGAAAGGCCAAAGTCTTCGTACTCCCGATTCAATTTTCAATTCGCTCGGGGAATCTTCGTCGAGTTATGAGCCAAATTTGGGCTGAGTGCCTGCGTACCAGCACCTCCGTTTTCCATCCGCTTCCCCGCCAGGTTTTCCGAGATTGATGCGAACAAATAAAAAAAGTGGTTAGACGATGTGGAAGATAATTGTTCAAGGAATATAATGTGCTAAAATGAGCTTTCCTAGATCTATAGTCTTACAGACGATCGAAAAAGTTTCGGTCACCGCTCTTTCGGGCCACCCTGTAGTCCTTAGGCGTCGAGGCTTGTCACGGCGATCCCATGTGGCTGCCTTCAGCTGCTCGGGCGTCTGGTGCGAGTGTGTGAGAGAATGAGAGAGTGAGAGAGATCGAGAGAGTGAGAGAGATCGAGAGAGTGAGAGTGAGCGAGAGTGAGCGAGAGTGAGAGAGTGCGAGAGTGAGAGAGAGAGTGAGAGAGAGAGAGAGAGAGAGAGAGAGAAAAGGAATTCCAGAATTTCTGACGAGCCGCCGAGGAGTTGGCTCTGTCGTGGCTGAAAATGGGAAAATTGTCGCATCCGGTAGACCTCCCGAACACCCCCCGGGGTACGGTCATTACTTCTAAAATCATTACTTCTAAAATCATTACTTCTAAAATCATTACTTCTAAAAGTCATTACTTCTAAAAGTCATTACTTCTAAAAATCATTACTTCTAAAAACGTTACTTCTAAAATTTGGTATGCCGGATTACCACTTTTTCGGCATATTTATGCCCAAAAATACGCTTAGAATTTTAGCAGTAACGACTTTTAGAAGTAATGATTTTAGAAGTAATGACTTTTAGAAGTAATGACTTTTAGAAGTAATGACTTTTAGAAGTAATGATTTTGGAAGTAATGACTTTTAGAAGTAATGATTTTAGAAGTAATGATTTTAGAAGTAATGATTTTAGAAGTAATGATTTTAGAAGTAATGATTTTAGAAGTAATGATGGGTAGCCCCCCCCCCCATTTACCACCAAAGATCCCATTTTGACCCCCAATCGCAACACCACCGGGAATCCCCAAACTGAACATCATTTTCGAGCAGTTCGCACAACTCTGCGCCAATCCGATTGCAACTCATTTGCGGGGTCGTTTGGTAGCATTTCTTAGAGTTTGTTGAACACGGCGCACGATTTCCGGACGTTTTTTTCTAACCGCGCTAGCAGGGTAAAGAAGCTTGATAGCATTGGTTCAAGCCGTTGAGAAGGTTGAATTTTAAACGCTCTTTCCAACGGTATACTTGCCGTCCTCCAACACCGTCGGCGGTCAGGGAGGGGAGCGTTTTAGTGCCGAAAGGTGTACCTGTCGAAGTTGTCGCCGCACTAAAACCATCATATCTCGATCTGCACTGGGAATCCCGGATTGAGAAGGGCATCAGTCGAAAGAGCGCAAAAGTTCTATCTGCCTAACGAGTTTCAGCTCTTTAGCAGCTTTGCCCAGCTTGCTAGCGCGGTTAGAAAAAAACGTATCGAAATCGTCCGCCGTGTTCAACAACCTCGAAGAAATGCTACCAAACGACCCCCAAATGAGTTGCAATCGGATTGGCGCCGAGTTGTGCGAACTGCTAGAAAATGAAAATGAGTGTGAACCCAGGGAGTTCGCAACCCAGGGAGTGCTCACCAAACCCTCCATCGCACCCTCCGAGACCCCCCTTGGGCCCCCCAAAACCCCATCCAGACCTCCATTTCAACACCTCCGAAAACCCCAATTCGAACTCCACGCCGAATCCCCACCCTGCCCCCCGCGCAACCCCCTAGGACTCCCATGCTCAGCGAGTTGAGCAGATCCAGGATCAGTTGAAAAAACTTTTCGAAAAAATCGCGATCGAGAGATATGTAGCTTACAAGGTCTCAAAATATGCGGAGACGTAGTACGCAATACCCCTATATACGCCAACTGTCATTTGGCAAGTAACGGAATGACATAGAATTATCTTTTCTTGGGTAAAAAACATTGTCAAGCAAGGCGGGCCGTCGCTTCGGATGGGCTGTCGCTCCACTCTTTCGAAAACGGGGCGCCTGGGCGCTTCGCGCTCCTCGGGCGCTCCGATTTCGAAACCCTGTACGAACTCGCTCCCATCCGAAGCGATCAGGCCCCGGGGTGGCACGAAGCCTTATTTTTGGTGGTAAGAGTTTACTTTATCCCCCCCCCACAGCCGAAGGGCCTGAAAGCTTTCGGTATTTTCGCTTATTTTAACGCTAACCGTAGCCTTTTTGCTCTCAAACTGGGGGTGGAGAGTAAAGCTGAGCTCTTGGTAAGAGTTTAGGTAGTCTCAAAGTTGTCGGTATTTTCGCTTATTTTGTCGGGATTTTTGCAACGCCATTCGATAGAGCGTCGAAAAATAGACTAAGAGTTTTACCTCCCGAACCCCCCTCCTACCCATTTACCCCCATACTTGTGGGGGTTGGATGGGGGTCCTAGGGGGTTTAGGCGGGGCGGCGGGGGGTTGAATGGGGGTTTTCAGGGGTGTTGAAAAAGGGGTTGAAAGAAGTTGAAAAAGGCTAAAATGATCTTAAAACTTAAAACCATAAACTTACACACTGCCAGAATTTTGCCCAATGGGGGTTGGAATGGGGGGGTTCGAGTGGGGGTCCATTGGGGGTTGGCAGGGAAAAGCGGTTATGCAAATTTTGAATCTTCCAGATTTATGCAAAAAGGTTAAATTATCTGATTGTCCTGTTCTCGCTGTCGCTCTTTGCTTCTCTCTCTCTCTCTCTCTCTCTCTCTCTCTCTCTCTCTCTCTCTCTCTCTCTTTCTTTCTCTCTCTCTCTCTCTCTCTCTCTCTCTCTCTCTCTTCTCTCTCTCTCTCTCTCTCTCTCTCTCTCTCTCTCTCTGTGTCTTTGTTTTTATTGCATTGCACGCAGTTTGAGCCTAAAAATAAGGCTTCATGGCACCGGGGCCTAGTCGCTTCGAATGGGCCCGAGCTCGTACCGGGTTCTGGAATCGGGGCACTCGGGACACGCGCAGCGGGCTGGCACCGCTATTTCTGACACCTTGCCTGAGAATGCTTTAAGCCTTGCAAGGAACCCATCTAAAGTTGCTATAAGGTTACTTCGGCTGCTGTTTCGGCTCTAGTCGAAATGAGTGCACAAACCATCCTAGCATGACCTAAAAATCCGATACCAAAAGTGTAAGCCAACCAGTATGGCGCCAAGATTAGCTACCAATAGGATGATCTGCAATAAAATTAGCAATTTTTTCGTGTGAAATTGATGTTTGGGAATGGAGAAGCGCTTTTGGCGATGCCTGTCGGGCGAACAGGGTTGGGCTACAGGGCAAACATAATTAATCCCTTTTTCGTCTTTCAGAATTCCTCAATTTTTACACACCTCAAAACCAAACCGTTTTTAGGTCAGCAAGACTCTTTTGAACCCAAAGATTGCTTATACGTCCAAAAATCGACATCTCGAAAATATAACTCCCGAAAAGTCCGAGGCTCGAAAAGCCGAATCCTGGAAATTTGGCTACCTTTTTTTACGTTGGTGGCTGCAATGTATAAAGAAAGCTGTCTCGATATTTTCGGGAATCCGGGTTCTCGGGGATTCTCATCGGAAATCAAAATTGATATTTTGCCATTTGCTCGGTCTGTAAGCTTCACACCCGTCCACTGTTTTTTTTCGGCACCGCCGTTGCGCGGAAAGAAGCATTTTTTATTCAGATTTCAAAACCACTCATCGATAATTTTCTTCGTTCGGTCATTTGTCGAAAATGCAGAGGTTGAACACCTCGTGGCAAGAGGATACAGCAAAGCATACTAGGAAATCTAAAAAAATGCGTTGGAGTGGCCATCGTAGCCCAGCATAGCAGTAGCCCGTCGTATCCATATGCGTAACATCTCTATTTCAAGCGACCCCAGCCACATTCACTAGGGAATGTTTTCGGGCGGACATCGGACCCAGATATGTGAGCATGTGCATCTTGTAGAGCCCGACGAGACGAATCGATTGATGTAACTTTTAGCTGCGGATACCCTTTTTAATAAAGTTACAGCGGTTTAAAGGTTTTTCGAGGTACTTTCATAACCCCTCCCCACACCCCCAACCGTCGTGCTCTGTTAGCCTAGTGGGTTAGTGGTCGACGTCTGGGGATGGTAACGAGGTTACGGATCCGCTCACGATTTTCATTTTTTGCTTTTTGGTCGAGAGCTTCCTTTTTGCACCCCGATGGCCTACAAACACTTATTTCAAATTTTTTTACCTGCCGGACGGTTTCGCAACCATATTCCCAATCAATCAGCATAAGGGGAACACAGAGAATTTTTCGAGCTGAAGTCATCAACATTGGTTGTACTTGCAAGAACAAAAATCCAATGAATGCTGTCACCAAATTTGGTGTAAGTCCTGGAGATAAAAAAAACTTTGAAATAAGTGTTTGTAGGCCATCGGGGTGCAAAAATGGAAGCTTTCGACCAAATAGCAAAAATGAAAATCCTGAGCGGATCCGTACCCTCGTTACCATCTCCAGACGTCGACCACGGCCACGGCGGTTGGGGTGTGGGGAGGGGTTATGAAGGTACCGCGCAAAACTTTAAACCGCTGTAACTTTATTAAAAAAGGGTATCCGCAGCTAAAAGTTACATCAATCGATTCGTCTCGTCGAGCTCTACAAGATGCACATACTCACATATCTGGATCCGATGTCCGCCCGAAAACATTCCCTAGTCAGGCCAACTTACATTTTCCATATGCGTAGATTCGACAAAACTGTTGAACATATTCCGTGCCATACCGCTACAAGATCAATTTTGTTATAAGTTATATTCGTCTTGGTTCAAAAGATATTATGGCGCAAAGTTGGATTTTTTTATGACCCACGCTGTAGTTAGTTCACGGGGACTGCACCGTGTGTCTCGTACGCAATCACGGACACAGACAGAATAAAGAAAGTTGATTTCGCTGATTTCCCTTCATCTCTCTCTCTTCTCTCTCTCTCTCTCTCTCTCTCTCTCTCTCTCTCTCTCTCCCTCTGTCTATCTCTCATCCACCCACTCACACTCTCTCTCTCTCTCTCTCTGTCTCGCTCACTCATTCACTCACTCACTCTGTCTCTCTCTCACTCACTCACTCTACCTCACACTCCCTCTGTCTGTATCTCTCATTTTCTCCCGCTCTCACTCACTCACTTACTCACTCACACTCTCTCTCACACGCTCTCTCTATGTCTGGTTCTCACTCTCTCTCGCACTCACTCCTTCAATCTCTCTTCTCTCTCTCTCTCTCTCTCTCTCTCTCTCTCCTCTCTTCCTACCTCAAGGTTTAGAATATCCATCCACTCATGGAGTGTTTCCGCGTCCGCACCATCCACACATTCCATGATGCCGTTGTGCTTGCGACGGAGTCGTTCCGCGAAGCTTTTCTACAGGGTGCGTCATTGCGAGCTTTAATTACAACCCAAAATTATCTAAAATAAACTGGCTATGGCAAACCCAAGCAAAATCCGGATAGCCTGTCAGACACTATTTTAACGGTATAAATTTTAATATCCTTTTTTTCGCAAAGTCAACTCTTACCAAAACGTAAAGCTCCTGTTTAAAAGATGGCCCTCTGTCAAGGGGCCATGCATTTTCCGTTCCACTAATGCCTGCAGGGACGTAGCGTAATACCGGCCCCGGGGGCCCGGCCCCCCCCGAAATCGGCCGGGGCCCGAAAATTTCATAAGGGGGGACCCTTATGATTTTCATTTTCTCAAAAATTTTGCTGCCTGCGGCGCTATTTTTTCACGTTTTTACGGCTATTTTTAGAGCTATCAAACCTTTTTTTCAAAATTTTTTGCCTGCGGCGCTGTTTTCTCGTTAATGTTTTGAGTTTTTTGGAAAAAGTTTTTGGGGGCCCCCCCGAAATTTTTTCCTGGCTACGCCCCTGAATGCCTGTATTAGTAACATGGATATTTCTCGATAACAAGATTACGTTTGGCCAACACGGCAAGTTAAGACGCTCGTCGCCTTTTTTGGTCAACTTGAAATCAGCGATCCGAAAAAAGTATATTTAAGCATTCCGATACGGTAATGTTGGTCTGTTAGTTTCAGATATCAGATATCAGACGCTAGATATTTTGACCCAACTTTCCTTTTTTCATGACGCACCCTGCCTACATGAGAAGTGAAAAAAAGTGAAGAAGTGAAAAAAGTTCATTTTCCGCAAACCCTTTAGAGGAATGGCCGGTAATTACCCTAACGTTTTTTTTGAAAGGATTGTAAGTGCCTCCCCTACCAATAAGCTTTCGGAACGTCCGATTTCCTCATTATTGGCCCAATCGCGGTTCGCTTCAATGTGATGCAACAGCCCACGCCGCGGAAGTCTCTCTGGAGAAAGGGCTATCTAAAAGAATTATACGGAAGAACAGGGTTGGTCATTTGAATAGCCGTACGAATGCCTATCCTACTATATATAAAAAAATAGTTCCTGTGTGTCTGTGTGTGTGCATTTGCATGCAACTTCCGTCAGGTTGTTCCAGTCGTATCTCAAGGAGGGAAGTACTTAGGGGTATGTTCGATACGTCATTCGGTGCGTAATGGCCTGGGAACGGCTGCACGCAAAAATATGATGTTTTCGACATTAAAATTAAGTTTTTCATGGAAAATCGGACACCACAATTTGTTAGGATCAAATTAGCATGCACCGGAAGTCGCGGTAGCCTATATAAGGGGACGGCAAGAGCATTTTTCATTTTCGTCATCCGAATCCGGGAAAATTATGCAAAGCCAAGAATATCATTGGAGAAGACGGGGCCAGGGTTGAAAAGCCGCGAAGCGGTTTTTCAACCCTGGTCAGAAACTCAAAAATCAGAATCTCGAATTTTCAGAATCTGGAATTTTCGGGATCTCGAAATAAACCTATGCTGGATCTACCTAGAACCATGAATGCTGATTTGGGCCATGTAAATTTCGAGATTCTGATTTTCGAGATCCTGAAAATTCGAGATTCTGAAAGTTCGGGATTCTGATTTTCGAGATTTTGACAGATCCCCTACCCGTACCGGTGTTCGCTACCCCAGGTGGTACCCGTACCCGTTCCCTCAAAATTAGCATACGGCGGGTAAGTACGGGCACTAGAGTGAGGGAGGCCTAGGCTAAAGCCTAGGCTTGCCTAGGCTTCCTCAGGCTTTTTTAATTTGCATCGCCTGGGCTGAGCCTGGGCTATGCAAAGTACGCCTGACCTCTAATTAGTCAGGCTTTATCTGGAAATTTTATGTAAAGTCGTATAATATTCGAAGTTTTGCCGGACAAATAAGGATTTTTTTGAAACTTCCGGGGGGTCGAAGAGTTGTATTGGGTCCTAGAATATTCCACAAAGTTAGGGTACTGTTTTTGACAAACCTTACGGCACGATACGTGAATAGCAAGCGGATACACAAAAGCCAAGGGTCGGATCAAACGGGCGGGGGATGCAATTGGCTCTCCTGACATCCTACCTATATGTTTCCCACCTTCGGCATCCTTGTAATTTGTTATTTCGACAAAAGATACCAACGTTTTAGATGCAGTAACCAGATTAACATGTTTTTGCGCATTGCATAAAAAGCCTGCGTAAATCCTTAGGCTTCCGCCAGGCGTCGGCAGGCGCGGAAATGCAATTCGGCCCAAGAAAGCCTGAGGAGGCCTGCCGCTCCCTCACTCTGACGGGCACTAGAGTGAGGGAGGCCTAGGCTAAAGCCCATTGTTCAATTTGCATCGCCTAGGCTGAGCCTGGGTCATGCAAAGTACGCTTGACCTCTTATTAGTCATGCTTTATCTCGAGATTTTATGTAAATTCGTAAAATATTCAAAGCTTTGCAGAACAAATCCGGAATTTTTCTAAACTTCCAAGGGGGTCGAAGAGCTGTTTTGGGCTCAAAAATATTCTACAAAGTCAGGCCAATGTTTTTGACCGAACTTACCGCACGAGATGTTAACGGAAAGCGGATACACAAAAGCCAAGAGTCAATTCGAACGGGCGGGGGCGCAATTGCCTCTCCTGACTTCTTGCCTATATTTTTCCCACCTTCGGCATCCTTGTACTTTCTTATTGAGCCATAGATACCAACGTTTTAGGTGCAAATTAACATGTGGTTATGCATTGCATAAAAAGTCTACGTAAACGCTTAGGCTTCCGCCAGGCGTCGGCAGGCTCGGAAATGCAAAATCGACCTACCTACCCGCCATATGCTAATTTCGAGGGTACGGGTAGGGTTCCCTGCAATAAAGACGACCATAAGTTCCCCGGTCCCGAGCAGCCGTTTGGTCAAAATAACCGCTTTCAGCCCTTTTTACTGCGCCCCAGTGACGGTCCTACCGCTAAATGCCCATACTTACATCGCCCAACAGAGCAACTCCTTCGAAACTGTACAAGCAATCAAAACGGATTGTCGGTACCAAGCTCCGACTCAACTCCCGTCCGCGCCAAAGATCATGCGCTATCTTGCTAGCGTCGTTCCATGGGACTGCATCCACACGACCCTAAAAATCACTTTTAGCCAGGGTCCAAAAGCTGCTTCTCAGGCCCTGGGTGGCGTGTCAGCGTGGAAAAACGAATTACACCGGCCGTGGCCGGTTGAGCGCGCATAGGAGCGTCATGTATCGATATCCCTATCCGCGTCTTCTTATTAGGGAATGAAATAACGTGGACCGGAAATGGCGGCCGGGCACATTCTGACTTTTCGGCCAAAAAGCCGATCGGCCGGCCGATGTGCCATGTCTGACGGGAACTAAAAGTTTGATCACGTACCGCATATATATGCAGCTCGCCGACGTCGCCGCGATAATTTAGCCGAATTTTCCGTAGTAGATTCCACGTGGTTATATCGTAGTCCATCCCTAAAAGGGTGGATCGGCTGCTCGCGAGCCAGCGGTAGAAAGGGCTGACCTAAAGTTTTTAAAAGTTTCTACTTGTTCTATTCGTGGTCACTGACGTCAATTAATTTGCAGTTTTCGTGCTCAAGGTCAATGCTGTTGACATGCGGCTCCCAGTGCTGAACCAGCATCGTTCTCATCCTCGGCATCAATTCCAAAAATCTGTCGAAGGGGACTGCGCTGAAAAAGGATTGTGCGAAAGGTTCGCAGTACTAGGGGGTGCCTTAAAAGTTCCGGCTGAAAAACAGCTAGGCCTGATTGCTGCTAGCCCCTAAAATTTGTAGGCGCTTCGCGCCCGTAAGGGGCCCGCCCAGGTGGTCGGGGACGTACAGTGGCGGTCAAAAAGTGGGTAGGTCGGGAAAGCATCTGTATCTCGACGTCGTAGCTCTAAATTTGTTGAAAAATTGAATCTACGTCAATATGCAACGGGGCATTCGATGCCAACATCAAAATCCTGCGAATTCATTTCGCTTATTAAATTCGCAGTCTTAAAATTTAAAAGGTCCGCCAGTCACTCGAACAGCCCCCAACATGGCTTGGCACAGTTTTTTTTCGACTCTGTTTTTTTGACGGCATCGGAAAGAGCATAGTCGAATTAGTAGAGCTGCATAGTTTTGAAAGTTTAAAAAAGTTAATTTTTAGGGTTTAAATTGGAGTCAAAGTTGCCGACCCTCAAAAATTATCTCGAAAGTTACTGAACCAAATTGGTCGAAAATTTGTCACAATACCTAATTTGGGATGCTGATCATTTCTCTAATACATCCAAAAGCACGAAATTGAGCGGAACATGGTTAAATCGCGTACCCAAAACAGTTTTTCAGGGTTTTGTATTTTACGGGTTCTTGGCGGTCCGTTGTAAATAACCTTAAAAGATGCGCAAAAAAATTCTATATCGAATGAGGTATTTTATACCGGGCCGACAGAAACCCCACTCTTGCTATAAAGCATTTACTGCGCGCAAAACAGTCCCAAAAATGGGTCAAAAACCTCAAAAATGACAAATTTGGAAATCGAATATATCAAACCATATCTAGAGAACGAGCTGAATCCATTGCAAAAAAGAGCAAAAAGAAATATTGCTTTTGAAGGGGGGCTGGGATCGAACTGGCGCGGCCCTTGGATTGGTAGCCGAGCACTCATGCAATCCACCACGGCCCCAGGGAGGGCTTCCAGGCGAAGGGTCCGAGTTCGATTCCTCCCCGGATCTCAGCCCCCCTTCAAAAGCAATATTTCTTTTTGCTCTTTTTTGCAATGGATTCAGCTCGTTCTCTAGATATGGTTTGATATATTCGATTTCCAAATTTGTCATTTTTGAGGTTTTTGTCCCATTTTTGGGACTGTTTTGCGCGCAGTAAATGCTTTATAGCAAGAGTAGGGTTTCTGTCGGCCCGGTATAAAATACCTCATTCGATGTAGAATTTTTTTGCGCATCTTTTAAGGTTATTTACAACGGACCGCCAAGAACCCGTAAAATACAAAACCCTGAAAAACTGTTTTGGGTACGCGATTTAACCATGTTCCGCTCAATTTCGTGCTTTTGGATGTATTAGAGAAATGATCAGCATCCCAAATTAGGTATTGTGACAAATTTTCGACCAATTTGGTTCAGTAACTTTCGAGATAATTTTTGAGGGTCGGCAACTTTGACTCCAATTTAAACCCTAAAAATTAACTTTTTAAACTTTCAAAACTATGCAGCTCTACTAATTCGACTATGCTCTTTCCGATGCCGTCAAAAAAACAGAGTCGAAAAAACTGTGCCAAGCATTGTTCGGTCCTCTCGCAAACGGCCTTTTAAGTCTTAAAAACTCCAAAATCAACTTTGCCTGAGGCATTTTTAGAATTGAAGAATCAATCACATTTCTGCCCCCGGAGACGGCAACTACAGGGTGTCCCAAAAAAAAGCACCCCTCCGGCATTTCGCCGCCTTACATCCAATCGGTCCCATACTTTGCCCCAGGGTGTATCAGACCATAAATAACCACAATCCTGAGTTATAGCCGGATCGCTACAGTGGTTTTCAAGTTATTGCCAAAATCCTATTTTTTACGCGATTCTTAACAGTTTTTTCGGCTATCTTTTTGGACTTTGCATCGATTTGCATCGACTTCCGGCTGCGAATCCCTAATTTCGCTTAATATCGGGTGTTTCTTTGGGTTACAAAAATTGTTGAAATCAACGGTTATTTGATGAATTTTTATCGGGAAAAAAATTTCTAAGGGTAAAGAACGCTTGCCGCTTCATTTTCACTTAATATTCGAATGGTCGATCCCTACGAAAACCTTATGAAAAACGGACAATAAAGTTTATTTTTGCTGTATCTCGAAAACTACTTGAGCTGGCGGGCTATAATTAAGGATTGTGGTTATTTAGGGTCCAATACACCTCTCGTCCAAATTTGGGACCGATCAGATGTAATATGGCAAAATGCCGGAGGGGTGCTTTTTTATGGGACACCCTGTATATGCCTTCAGAAAAGCCTGTTTCCCCGTAGAAGAAAAAAAAAATCGAAAAACAAAAAATAATGTGATGTTCGACCATCCCGAACACGATGGCACTGTTTTTGAAAGCTAAACTACTTCAGGAAAAGGTTGGTTTAGGCGGTAGTTTTAAAAGTGCCAGGCTAGGAATCAAAATCAAGGGTCCGCTGAATTTTGATGTCAAATCGGATCCCCCATTGCATAATTGACATAAAGTCACATTTTCACAAAATTTCTAGCCAGGACTTATGAGATACAGACGTTTTGCCCGACCTGCTACTTTTTGACCGCTACTTTGGCGTATTACAACCCCCACCCCCGCCCCGGAAATGGGGTCCGGTTCGGAACAAAATTGGCGATTTTTTGAACATTTTTTCGCATTTTTATCGATGTTATCGACCGCATTCCTCTAACGGAAAAATACCCCGCCCCCTGTTGAATACCAGGCAACATCGGGGCGTCGATTTTAACTATTTACTGTATGTTGAAAATGCATTAGATAAGAATATGTTGAAGTAAATAAAGAATATGTGACCAAGAAGCTCGTTCAAATGCGTTAGTTAAAAACGACAAAGTGGAATTACCGAGTTTTCCAGCCATCGCGACTTCCGATAATGAGGCCGTTGGTTTCGATGTTTCCCTTGATATACCATCCTTGTAGGTCTTCAATAAAGATACTCATTTCATGAGCCCATATCTGAAAATAGTGGCGCTTTCCAGTAACATCATGTTTGTCATTAAGTGCTTGTGCATTAACGGGGGGAAGGGGCAAATTTTTTTCTAAGTCTTCTAAGTAATTCCGAGTAGAAGACTGCCTATCTTACTACTGTTTTTATTAAAATTTAACCATATGTGTAGTCAGAAATGATCGCGAAATAACTTTTTACCGGAAAATTAGTCAAAAATCTATCTTTTATGCATTTTTCAACAAACATTTGAAACGTTTTTACGTTTGGGAATAGTAAAAATGGTTTTACAACAGTTCCTCCGTTCAGATTAAAGGATTGAATCGTCATAGGGAAAAGTTCCGTTGCGCAATGATTATACGAAAGCCCCTTTTCATTAATGTTGATGGGCTAGTTCGGCTTGTGGAGGTTGGCCTGGTACCTTGGGACATGATAGACGAGGGATAGCGCGCTTAAATAGTCCCGGATTACGACAGCTATTAGCTAACGGGTAAATGAGAGAGGCGCAGGGGCAAAAACACGCAGGGGTTCGACTCCTGGCCACGGAAATTTTTGTATTTTATTGCCTAAACTAGCCCTTTAATGCCTTATAATAAGCGATCTGGTAATTCGGTTCTACCCTATGTGGTGCGGCAAAGCTCTACCCCCCCGACCTATGGTATATTGATTCCAAATTGTGTCACATGGCTGTAAAGTACACCAAAAACCCGCCAGGCCAGGACGATGATTTATGTATTGTTTGAAACCCTGGAGGTGGATGGGGAGTTGTGATACATTGGAGCCAAGGGGGGGGGGGACCAAAAATAACCTCGTTCTTCCCCGCATCTTCATATGACGCTCGCTTCTCGTGGCCGCAAGGGACCAAACTCGTACTCCCAAAATCACCTTTTTTTGGAAATAGCCCTCGTGCATTGATGGTCGCCCTAAAATGGATACTTTAAATTATTGCTCATCGGAATCTCAAAGATCAGGATCTGGAAATTTCCATTCACCTGATCGACTCTCTAGAAGCTCCGGTCTCTCTATTTTAATCTACAAAGTTTAAACGCTTAAGCTATATATAATAAACTGCAACAACAAAAAACACCCGATGCACCCGAAGAGACGGAACAAGAAATTTGGATGTTTGTCCGTAATAATAAAAACGGGCGATTCTGCTCTTAACCTTGTCAAAATCTATTAAATTTTCATTGGGAAAGCCGTTGGATTTTCGCTGTAGAGCATGAAAAGTACTTGAAAATGTTTTGTAACATTAAGCCCTGACATCAACGTTGTTTTTTTTCGAAGCGCCCCGACGCCAGAACCGCGAGAAATTTGTGTGTTCAACCCTACCCAACTACCCTATTATCAACACAACCCTGGATAAAACGGGCTAATGGGGTGTCCTGAAAATGTTAAATGAAAATGCGGTGAAATTGTGGGGTCGTGAAATGCAATGTTATGGAATGTGGGCTACTGAGATAGGAAATCCTTTTCATAATAAAAATCACCTGAACGATTTGTTGACCCTTTGCAGCGTGATCAATTCACGGAAGCCTAGATGATCGAGTATGGTCCGAAGGAGGGCGGCAGGGAGACGATCGATTGGAAACATCCGGTATTCCTTTAAAAGCAAAAATTTACAGAACGAAACGCTCAGCATTATTTAAGGAATTAACTGCACCGATTACGAGCGGATCCAGGTCTAAAGGCCACGATTTGTATGCCCCTCCCCTGCCCATCTGTCAGAACTGTTCCCTCCGGCGCTGAATGATAATGTTGTTCACACTAAGGAACGACTCGATATCAACTAGAGAGGCGCTTATTCAAATCAAATCGGCTTCAAATTGATTTGATTTGAATTAGCAAATTTGAGTGCGAAAAAATCAACTTCAAATCAAATCGATTTGATGTGAAAAAGGGGCTGCCCAACTCAAATCAAATCGATTTGATTTGGGATTTGAACAACAGGCTTATCAGGTATGCAAATTGAAAATCAGCGGTTCGGAGGGCTTTTGGTAGCGCCCTTTCTGCACATTTAGGTGTCCTTTACAATAATTCATGGGGCGCATTGATGTTCTTGATATAAAATTGAGCCAGACAGTTCTATTTGTCAGGTTTAGCATGCGCTATGGTTTTTCTTTGGAAAAGCCATGGGGTAAAAACAATAGGAAATGTATAAAGAATCGTTAACTGGGACGCTGGAACCATGCTAAGGGATTATCAACTATAATAAAAAAGTAGCGGTGTCCGTCTGTCCGTCGTGTCCCGGATTCAACTCGAAGGGGAAAGGAGCTAGAGCTTAGCTCTCTTCGGATTCGGATAGAGCGTGGTCAGAAACCCCCAAACTGATAAAAAAATTATGAAAAAGTTTTAATTTAAATTATTAAAATAACTTTGAAAGTTTTCCTTAGTAAAAGGAGTGGGGGCATAGTGAGCCAGGTCGCGCGCGTTTCGGCGGAGGGGAGGGAGCGTACAGGGGGTGTCTAAGGATTGAAATGTTCAAAAACTGTCGCCAAGCCCTCTCTGAAAGTGATGAATAAAAAGAATGAAAGTAAAGAGCGGTGCACGAATTACGAGCTGGGTTGGGTTCATTTCGCTGAGGTCTTATTCAAATTATTCAAATCGGCTGGATTTGATTTGAACTGGCGGAACTCAAATCAAATCGATTTGATTTGATTTGCTCGGCTCCAATTCAAATCAAATCGGCTTGATTTGAATAATTTGAATCTTATTCAAATCTGATTTGATTAAGCGCCACTCTAATATCAACGTTTTACAACCAAATTCGTCCTATATAAAGTGCTAATATAATCTTCAGGTTTTTTGGGCATCCAAATTAAACTCGAGACGATCATGGAAAAGAGTACAGATTTTCGAGATTGTGGTTTTTCAGATCTAAATTTTCGAGGTTTACAATAATCGGATTTTGATACAATAAATCGAACACAAATGAGCATGTCCCGATTTGAGTATTAATCTTCGTCGTAATCAACTATAATAATTTTGCTGTGGCGTCTGTCCGCCCGTCCGTCCGTCCGAAGCCGACCGAATTCAACTCGAAGGGGAAAGGGGCTAGAGCTTAGGTCTCTTCGGATTCGAATAGAGCGCGGTCAGAAACCCCCACACCGATCGAAATCAAAATTTAAAAACTTCATGTTCATATTTAAAAATCGATTGTAGTAATTTGGTACAAAAAATGGCTTTTTGCACGATTTGGACATTGTGAGCCAGGTCGCGCGCGTTTCGGCGAGGGGGGGCGGGGTAGCCGAAGTCCATCAAGCTCTACTACTCGCAGTTCTCGTATCGTTCAAAAATGAACAAAAATGATTTTATCGAGTTTTTATTCGTGTGCTAGGCATAAAATCACTAAGTTTTGTGTACTCCTTGTAACCGGCTACTGCGGCTGATACTCCGTGTCGGGTGTTTTTTTTTCAGGTATGGCCCAGGTTGAGGATAGGTCGGGCCCCTAGGTTGGGGGTATTCCGGCTGATCAGGGTGAGGGTGAGACGTGTCGGTTCTGGGATATTGAGGGTGGTTCCGCGGCGTTGAGGAGCTCTGAAAGACCGGAATTTCAAGAGACCTCTGCTAGCCTGCCTGGAAAGACTAGAGATGCGCAAAAATAACTAACCCACGGCCCTTGGGTCATGTCGATAGGCAAGAAATCCGGTTGTTTTGTGGCCTAGAAATTGAGCATACTGAATTGTTATTGATTTAGGCTTAGGATTCCGCATAAACTTGCGCCTAGGCTAATGATTAGGCCTAGCTTATGCTTAGGCTTAGGATTAGGCTTAGCTTAGGCTTAGATTTAGGCTTAGGGCTTAGGGGCTTAGGGTTTAGGGCTTAGGGCTTAGGGCTTAGGCTTAGGTTTCGTCGTCGCTTTTGGAAAGGAAAGAATGATTCTTAGTTGATTTCGAACAATCGTTTCGAATTGGTTACGCCTGGGAATTGGGAGGTGGGTTTACGGTCGTGGGAGTGCGCTAGGAAGTCTGGGCGGCTTCGAAGCCGAGGCGCTAAAGGTCGAAAATTTCTCTCACGGTTGAAAATTGCTCTCACTTTCCTTCGGCTTTTGAATTTGGCTCGAAGGATCAAATTGTAGCCTCTACGACTCGAAATACGAAAGATTATCGCATTCTTTTGCAGCGGGGTCATCGCCAAGGGAAAGGGCAAACACAAAAGACAGGTGGGGCTCTTCAGGGCGCCAAATCGATTCCACTCGCTTGGACCACACGCACGATAAGGCTCGTTTTTGTCGTCACTTTGCGCTTTTCCGGGGTTAGCTGCTGTTGGTCCGATTATCATGCTTACTTAAAGTTCTTCGGCTTTCTATTACGGCCAACTTATAGGAAAACAGACGTAAAGTAAAATTGTTGTTTTGAGGAAACGCCGCCAACACGGAAACGAATGCGCCAACCTGAGTTCACGGACTCACAGGTGAATTGTTGGGTTCTATCGCTTTATCGGGGGGTGTCGAACTTCTTGTATACGTCTAGAAATGTTTAATAACTTAATAACCAGTGTTTTGATAACGTTTCTAGTAAAAACCAACTAAATTTCTACTGGGTAAAATCACTAAAAATTTATGAAAAAGTAGAAATTTTTACTAAAGATAGGCCATTTTTGGTCGAAAAATTGATATTTTGACATGTTTAAAAAATTTTTTGGGTGCTACGGCACTTATAGGGGTGCAGTCCGGATTTCGACTACGAGCCGCTCCAAATGCCGTGTTTTGAATTCTAAGCCTCTGGACAAGTAAAGCTGAGCCTAAGCCTAAGCGTCACTTCATAAAAACAAAGCCTGATTTTAGCTTGGCAGAAGCTAGGCTTATTAGCTCTAAGCTAAACCCTAAATGGCCCCATTATGACCTAAGGCGACTCGTCAGACCTTGTTAGAGCCTAAGATGAGCTTAGCTTGGGCTTAAGCTTAAGACTTAACCTAGGCATAGTTAAAACTACGTCAGGCCTAAGCTTTAGCTCAAAACCAAGTAGCTTAGGCGGAGCGTCTCGTAATCTGTTACTACCAATAACAATTCGCCTCCCCCCCCCCGATAATGCGAAAGAACCATATTTTGCGCATATTTTTGCATAAAAGACATTGTAACGTGTTTGAGCCAGCTTTTGTATAGACCCGGAACATCGTCCACGTCTCAGCCAACGAGCCGTTCCCCGAATTGATCGTGAAAGCCGAGGATGGGGACATTTTACAGGATTTGAGTCAATCGGTTAGTGTTTGTCATTTTTATCAAAACTTACTTTTACAGAGAAATGGCCAAGAGGAGATGTCCTCCTCGCAGAGGAGCCTGCTGAGCGCGTTCGATGGGTGCCCCGATCCGGACACCGTCCTCCGGGAGACTTTCCACTGTAAACGGGTTTGTGCTTGTATCTATTTTATTGGGAATTTGCGACAACGTTGAGGGATAATGGTGATTCTTTTCGGCGTGGGACCCATTTTGTACGGAAAGCTAGTCTATTTTTCCGAGCGGGCTGGTGTGACAAAGAAACGAAACTTAACCCCTTTCATACCAAAAGCACCAAAACTCGACAGTAATTTTAATACAGAAAAGTTTACATACAAAAGCATTGATCACCGTTTCAAGACGTTCAATAAATATTAACGTTGTTAAGTCGTAAAATCGATAAACAGCGCTGAAAATTCGGTTTTAAGGTGCTGATGCACTTGGGGGGGGCAAGGGGGCGGTCCGAACTCTACTACAAGGCGCACCAATCGCCGTTTGTTAAACTTTACGCCTCTGGAAAAGCTAAGTTAGTAAAAACAAAGCCTAGGCTTAGCTTGAGCCAGGCTAAGCTTTAAATTATCCCCTTTCGAGCTCGTAAGGCAATTTAGAGAGCTTGGATTGTGCTTATTAAGCTAAAGCCAAGCATCGTTAAAGCTAAATAAGCAGAAGCTTATGCTGAAACCAAGTAGCTTAAGCGGAGAGCCTTGTAACTCCTTAACAGTAATTTCGGAAGACCCCCTCACCCCCCCCCCCGTAACTGCATTAGCAGCCTTTTTACACCACTTCCAAACAGTCTTATGCTGCCAACGATCAGAGGTTACAAAAAATGAATTTATAGTACACTACACTATAAAATATAATATTTTTAGCGCACACGCTCGACAGCCAAGCTGATGCCATTGCCATTGGCACAACCGCCGCTCGAGTTGTACAAGATCGAATCTGCCACAGGGGTACGTTAGAATAAAATATAAAAGTTAAGAATATAAAAGTTAAAAGTTAAAGAAATGAAACGGTCTTTCTAGTACACCCCAACACGCTCGCAGGAGGTTATCTACGAGCTCGCTGCCCCGTTCGAAGTCATCGTCCCCGAGCAACAAAAGTCAAAGCGAACCCTCAATTATTTGGTGAGTTTTTGATTCGATAAAATGAACAAACCTTCCATTTTTAGGTTCGCGAAAGTGCCAATCCGTTGGGATCCCGACAGGTGCTCTTCACAAAGATGGGGATTGTCCCCTTTGAATTCAACATCCCGCTCGAGTACTACAACGCGCCGGGGGCCTGCTTGGCGATATCGGCTCGTTATGAGGTAGTATTTATTGAAAACAAAGGTTTGAAGGGATGCCGACGGCATAGGGCGATCACCCCTGATCAACTTTTTGGTACGTGGCCAACAGGGCAGAGAACGCGCCCGGGACGAGACGCAGAGGCATTTTCCTTCCCTCGTGTTACCTATTAATTATGCCGTCGCTATCCCTTTAATTTGTGTTTAGGACAGTGTACTGAAGGAGAAGCTCGTCGAGATGTGCCCGGTGCATCAGAAAGAAGAAGGTTGGAGTGGGAAGGGTTTCTTAAAGGGGCGCCGAAGTGCCTAATATAATGCCTATTGGGAGGGGCCTTATATTTCTGGCAATTTGCGAATTATAGTGTTTTCACAAAGAAATCGCGCAAACATCGAAAGCGCCAGGAACCTCTCCGGACGCTGGCAATTTGCCAGAAATCCAAGGACCCTCCCAAAAGAGCCGATATTTGGCACTTCCGCGCTCCTTTAATTGGGGGTTCTTTCGCGTTATCGGGGGGGTCTGGGACCAACTCCTCGCTACTACTCGCGACGTTCCGACTAACGTATAGCCAGTGTGTTAATGGTTTTTAGTTAAATTAGGCCATATATTTGAGTGGGATAACCATAAAAAACTTGATAAACATTTTAGTGGGGATTTTGGTCAACGAATCAATATTTTCGTGTGTTTTTCTTCAAAATTTGTGTAGTTTTTATGTTTAGGAATTGCTAAAAAAACGGATTAAGCACCCTTCCTGCATTTGTATTAAAAAAATTGGAGCCTTTAGAAAAAAGTTGGTCCCCCCGATAATGCGAAAGAACCCGTTAAATGGCATTTTATTTCAGATTCGAAACTGGCCACCCCGGGACAACGGCTTTTCATGCAGATCCCCGACGAGGGCTATCACCCGGCGATGCTCGCGGCCGAGGGCAACCACTTCAACGCGATCGCTATCTCGCCGACCAACAGCCTGAATCTGAAGGTTTAGCAATGGCTTGACTTCATATTTTCTTCAGTTTGCCTGCTTCTCCTCGTGCTCGTCGATCAACCGCCGGCCGCTGATCCTGATCTTCGACCTGAATGGGTCAGTTTTCAAAATTCCCATTCGAAAACTTAGTTTCAGCGAAGGGCTGCCGCCGCAGACGTTCCAAATGGGCCTGCGCGTCTGCGCCAACCCGAAACGCGACGCCGAGAAGGATGCCAGCGAGAAAACGCCGAACGGCGTGAAATGTTGACTTTTCAAAGGGGGTTTTAAGATTGTTTTTAGGCGACCCTGCCGCTAGCACCTCGGCTGCGACTCCTGGACATCGTGAGTTTGCTGCAATTTGGCTAACCCCAAGGGGAAGAGGCCCCCCCGGTAGTGTACCACGCTTCTGTGACTTTCAGAGCGTTAAAGGGATAGGGGCGGAATAAGTCAATCGATTACGCGCGGGAAAGAAAATGTCTCTGCGCCTCCCCCCTGGGCGCCCTCTCTCGCCGCTGCATCTGTTGAACCCCCCCTCCCCAAGGGGGTTCAACAGATGCCGTCCTCATCTCTTTAACAATCTGAATAATTCAAATGAGCCTTAACAATCCCAGAGAAAATTTTGACCAAAGAAATGTCTTGATTTCTTGTCCAAGTCCAACGAGGAAACCTTGCTGACGCCTCCACCATGACCCAGAAATGCCTAAAAGGTGTGTAAATGTAATCAAGGTTCAAAACGCAAAAGGAAACCCGCATCAAAGAACCGAACCCTCAACCAAAGCCAAAAAAACTTCGTAGGCAGATGCGTTAACCGCTCCGCCAGCGGCGATGCTGGCCGTCGGCGCACCCGTGGGCAATTCACCTAGGGCTGTCCCGTACCTGCCTGGGGACAGCAACCGAGCAACTATGGGACTTTTGCCTTACAGTTTTTTAATTTTATAAAATCAGGAGAAGCTATTCTGCAAAAATGAACGTCCAGGAATTGTTCAGAATTCAATACTCTATCGAATGAGCTAGGTCTCAGTCACTCCTTGTGAGCAAACCCAATTTCCAGAAACATCCCAATTTCGGAAGCGCTCTCTCCCGTGCAAGCCGGTCGACGTGAAGCCGAAGATCCGGCGCAGCGAGGGCGCGGTCGACGACACGCAAGTCAGGAACGTCCAGGTGAATAGCGTTTACCATTATACGTTTCATTTTTTGTCAGATCATTGGAAAGGAAAAGTACGAAAAGGCGGTGGCTTATATTGCGGATTTGGAGAGAGCCGAGCGCTATGAACAAGCCAAGGTAGCGATTTTTCAACTATCAGTTTATTTTTTGGATTGTCTAGGCGCACTCGAACCTCGGCGAGCCGAACCTGTTCGCGTCGTTGTCGCAGATGAGTGATGACACGAGCCTCGAATTGTACGCGTTTCGATTCCCATTTTTTACTTGTTTTTCCAGTTTCCTAAGCCAAGTCGGCGCCGGTGAGCACGCTGCCCAGCTCGCCGACATGGGCTGCACGACGCTGGGCAGTCTCTGCGAGCACTTTACAGAGGATGTAAGTAGTCTTTATGCGTTTTTTATTAAATTTTGGTTCTTTTTGCATTATCGGGGACCCCAATTTTTTTTGCTATATATAGTTAAGGCGGCTTTTCGGCACGGGACCAAGCGTGTTTGGGGTGATCGACTATGGTGAGAACGGTACCGTCTTCAGAAAAACCGGAAAAGTAGGGTCTTTCATACTAGAGTCCCAAGGACAAAAATAATTTTTTCAAAATTTTCGAAGTTTTGCGATTTTTGCGAAAAGCCTTTCATCTTTTTCAAAATGCTTGAAAAGCAAAAAATTGAGCCTGCATCCGGAGTCGAACCACAGACCTCCTGCTTGGAAGGCGAGCACCTTACCGCCGCGCCACCAAGTCTGGGGGAGTCTGGGGAGGGCTCAAGATGGTGCGCCGAAATAGTGAGCCAGGTCCCCGTCAGACCGGGATTTACCATAGAAAACTTAAAATCGAATTATCTCGAAAATCAAGGCTCTTCCGGTTTTTCTGAAGACGGCACCGTTCTCAGCATAGTCGATCACCCCAAATACGCTTGGTCCCGTGCCGAAAAGCCACCTTAACTAGACGCACTTCCCTTGTGAGGGTCTTTTTCTTTCTGCAATTTCTAAATTAAATCTAATCTAATTAAGTTCTAAGCTGTTTTTCACTGTTGCCAAACGTAAAAAAAATTACAAATTTTTATTAATCAATGCAAAATGATCGATTTTTCGACCAAAACGGCCGTTTTTCACTAGAATTTCGACTTCTTGCAAAAATTTTTAAGGTTTTTTTATAGTTGAAATAGAGATTTATTCCACTAAAAACATTATTAGAAGACTTCCTCTTAATTTACTAGGCATTTCCAGACTTATTTTCTGTATTTCAGCTCTTCGCGTCAATCGGCATCGAAAAGTCGATGAGCGACTACCTGAACCGGGCCTACCTGAACTGGCGCAACCTCAAGGACGCCGCGGATCTTCGCCTCAATCGCTCGTAAATCGTTATTTATCCCATGCGTTCCCTAGAACTCGCAATTTGTTTCCATGTATCTCATCCGATAATTTTGAACCGTTCCTCCTCACGTTTTTGTACAAATCTCCCAACCCCGTGTCTCCCCGAACTCCCGTTGATTTCACATTCATTGTTTTCTATTTCTTTCAAGTTGATTTCAATTTGTTGCCCTTTTCGTTGGTCAGTATTTCTAAACTCATCCCCCCTTCTCGCTCAGGAATCCGCAAATCTCGTTGGAATAAAATTTGGTTTATAGTTTTAGCTTTTAATTATTCGAAATTTGTTCAGCGCATTCCTACGGCAATTTGTAAATAGCAGCCGGTACAGTCGTTACAACCGTTTAGCGGGAAATGCCGATTTGAACGTGTTGAGGTGAAATTGTCTATTTATTTGTTATTTATTAAAAACAAGAGCAAGTTTTAGTATACGACGCCGTAATTAGGCATTTGGAGTACCAGAGAGTACTTCTACTTTAGTAGTAGCTCCTCTTCATCGGCATCAATGTCAGTTGATGACAATCAATGTAACGGTGATCGATCCGAAGGCGCGCTTGCAGAGATTCTTTCGGCATCGGCTGTTTTGTGGCGTAAGAATCAAATGTTTTAATCAGTGGATAAACGCTTATTGACAACGAAAAATGGCGACAAAATGGATGCTCTTCATTGGGTCATTTGTCGAAAAGGTACAGGCGGATCAGGGACTCGTTGTACGCAAGGCACATCAGGAAATCTAGAAAAATATTTTAAAGCGGTGTATTTTTATAGCTTTTTAGTACTTTTTGGCTGCTGGGAAAAATTTTCTGCGTTTTATCTCCCGAAACGGTTTAAAATGATATAAAAATTACATTTTTTTTTGTTATGGAGACCTACGGGATTATTACAGGAAATTTTCTCCCTTCCCCGCTAGCCTTCCCACCACCCCCCGCTAACGGCACAGTACCGAAACATGCCAGACGACTTACATTTCCCATAGGCGTAGATGCGAAAAAACTGCTGTATAGATGCCGGACCGTACCACTAAAAATTGAATTTTTCCACAGTTTTCGGGTCTTTTACTTTAATTTTCCAATGGCCTATGGACCGGATTTAGCTGCGTAACATCTATCAATACTAATAATTCCCTCAACGCGTTGGACATCCATCCATTTTTCGATTGTTTCCGCATCTGCCCCATCCACGCATCCCATGATTCCATTGTGTTTTCGACGGAGACGTTCCGCAAATCGCTTCTGTAAAAGTGAATGGTACGGTTAGGATTTGCTAGTCTAATGTCGAGATTTCAAAATAGTGATCATCCTTTCGAATTTCATTATGCAGAATTTTCAGCATATCGTCTTTTCCTAGTATTTGAGGGATTTTCCAAGATTGTTCTAGGGAAAATCCCGTCATTCTGAAATTGCGACTGAAACGCCGTCGTTATGAACCACGTTATTGTGAAATTTTTGTCATTATAATTTTGACAATTTTGAAAGCAACCGAAGGCTTAGGCTCAATGTCTAAATCTGATTTACATTCATTTCGCCGAATTTTCATATCGCCGAATTTTCATATCGCCGAATTTTCATTTCGCCGAATTTTCATATCGCCGAATTTTTATTTCGCCGAATGTGTATTTCGTCTAAAGTTTATTGCACAAAGCTTCATTCGGCCGGTTGTTCGTAGCCCGTTATCTAGCGAACAATAAAATATAGCTCACAAGGAGATGGTCTCAGCTCGACACCGAATTTCGATTTGAAAATTTGCACACTGATAGAGCTTGACGAGACGAATCGATGGGTGTAACTTTCAGCTGCCCATACCAGAATATAGTCGAGTTATAAGCATTTTAAGTTTTTTTTGCATACATTTAGCAGATATACCATCCTACCTTCATAAGCCCTCCCCCTTCGCTGATCGTCGTGGCTCAGTGGCCTAGTGGCGTAGTGGGCGGCGTACGGGGAATCTATCCAAGGTTCGAACCGCTCACAAATTTTATTTTTTGCTTTTTGGCACAAATGCTTCTATTGGCATTCTGATGGACTGGAATCACTTTCTATTCCTTCTTTTAACTCTTGCAAGCGGATCCCCCCAAACGAAAATTTCATAGAAACATTCGAAAACAAATTGGATTAAAAGGTTATACCAAGAATTGCGCATTTTTTGAGACCAAGATACCGCAAATCTACTCTGGTACTTTTTTGTGATTAGGCTTCCAAGGCTGAGCTCGAGCAAATATACCACAAAATTTCAGATTTTGAGCGGAAATAATAATTTATTAGTGAAAGACGGGGGTATTCGGGCAGCACCGGAAATTGTCTTTTCTTTGCGCAAAAGAAAATCATCCGAACAGGCAGCCGGCGATGGTGAGCGCCATCGCGGACAGGAAGAACGTCGATGCAGAGGAGTTCGGCTAAAAACGCAATTGAATCTATTAAATAGTTTTAAATACAGAATGCACTATTAGTTTTTTTTAGGTGATTTAACTACCTTTTCTTTCGGGGCCACTGTCGCGGGGCTAACTGGTACCACCACCTCTTCGGCGTACCCGTCCGGCTTTCGGCGGGGGAGTTTCGGGTGCTAAATCCGGGGTTAACTTCAAAATGTCGAAAAGCATACTGTCGAAATGTTTGAAATACAAATAACTAAACAAAATACAAAAACGTAGAAGAAAAACGCACCGGCACCTCGATGCTCAGGTCGTAGTCGCGGGGGTTGATGCTGCAATTGGGGACGTTTAAGGTTTTATCCAGATTTTTCGCTATTTTATTGTAATTGCGTGTCAAAAACCTCGAAGCCGAGAAACAAGAATACGCAGCCGACGCACAGAGCCCCTACGGCGGGGGTCTAATTTCGCGCTTGCGAGTCCCGGTAGAAGTTTTGTAAGATCATACCCTCCGTTCCAGGGGTAAGCTTGTCCGGCTTGGCTCGGGTACGCCGAGCCGGGCCCCGGAACGACCGGACCGGGGGCCGGGCCAGGGTAGGCCGGCCTGGGACCCGGAGCGGGGTAGCTAGCGGCCGGGATGGCTGGAGCCGGGGCAGGACCCGGGGCGGGGTAGGTCTGACCGGGGCGGGGGTAGGCGGGAGTGTCGCAGCCATGATGACCTGAAGAAGTTTGGAGCATGAGCTGTAAAGCCCAATCGACCAAGCCTAAGCTGAACCTGGTTATCTCACCTGGATTTACCGGTCCGATCGGGTAACCTGGTCCGCCGCTCGGGATTCCGGCGCATCCACCGCTAGGCTGGCTAGGAGGTGCCGGTGGCGCAGGAGGACCCTGAGGGCCCGGTGGGCCCTGGGGCCCAGGCGGGCCTTGGGGCCCGCTAGGGCCTGCTGGAGTTCCGCAGGGGGCTCGGGAACAGTCACAACCCTAGGTTGATGATGGTGTTGGCTAGTTCTCTCTCTCTCTCTCTCTCTCTCTCTCTCTCTCTCTCTCTCTCTCTCTCTCTCGCCTAAACTTACCGGAAGTGCTGGCGGGTTTTGGCAGCTCTGAAAAACACCATCAGTTTTATGTTCTCAAAATTACCACGCTAAACCGCGGGCTGACGTTCTCCTCACGGCAACAGCAGCGGCACGTCACGCGTCGATACCCCTGAAGTTACAGGATACGATAGAGTGGTCAGCGTTCGGCGCACCTTAGCATAGGTATATTGTTGGGGCTGAGATTGAGGCTGGGGCTGAGGTTGCGGAAACGATGGAATGTTCATCGGAGCCTGCGGATATTGGGGAACGATGACTTGAGGGCGGACTGGGCGCTAAAAAATGCGGTTAAATTCCGCAAAGGCCTCTGCAAACTAGCGAAATGTCTCTCTCTTCTCCTGTACTCAAGTTCGGACCTTTTTTTTCATTTTCTTGCTTAATGTTTCCTAAATGATCGCTGCTAGCCTGCCCTTTCCTAACTGTAAAGTGTTTTTACTCAACTTGGAGTTTCGATTCGAGACCAAGTGCATCTTGTACAGAATTTTTCGCTGATTCCGAATATGTTTTCCAAATTTGCTACGGACTTTTATTTAAAAATCATTTTTGGTAATAATTAGGCCGAAAAATGCCAAAAATTCAGACGCTAGCCCACTATTCCTTGTTTGGGGCTATGGTTCCCAGGGGCCCTGAAGTACCCTCTCACAGCACCCTTCCCAGTTGGCACCATGGTGCATTGGCAAAGTACTCGCTTGCCAAGCGGAGGGCGACGGTTCGAACCCCCGCCCTGCATCATTTCTTTTGCTTTTTGAATAAAAATCTCATTGTTTTATCTAAAATGCTTGTTTTGAGCTGTAGGATGCTTGTCGAGCCAACGTCTAGTCAATTTTGACGTTGAAATTAATGAAGAAAATCGAAAACTATAACGATACCTCCATTTTGGTGAAAACTAGGGTCATAATTGCCGTATAACTTTCAGAATAACGGTCCGTAGCAAATTTGGAAAACATATTCGGAATCAGCGAAAAATTCTGCACAACATGCGCTTGGTCCCGAATCGAAACTCCAAGTTGAGTAAAAACACTTTACAGTAAGGTATCTCTGCTAGCCTTCCGGATCAACCTACCAATTCGACTTGCGGATACGGATTCGGCAGCGGCGGTCTGGCGATGACGTACTGCTGCTGCGGAAGGTATTCCGGGTGGGGTTGCGGTCTCGGGTAGGGCCCAGGCTGAGGGTATTCACGTGGCCCCGGTCGTGGATAAGTCGGGCCCCTAGGTTGGGGGTAGTCCGGTTGTTCCGGTTGAGGGTACGACGTATCAGGCCTGGGATATTCAGGGTGGTTTCGCGGCGCCGGGGAGCTCTGAAAAAACGGGATCTCTGCTAGCTTGCTAGGGAGGCTCAGAGTTGTGCAAAAAGAACTTACCCAAGGCCCTTGCGAGATTGGAAATGGCAGGAAACTCGGTGGTTCTGTGGGCTAGAAATTAGGTATGCTCAATTCTTATCCGCTTAGGCTTAGGCTTAGACTTAGGCTTAGGCTTAGGCTTAGGCTTAGGCTTAGGCTTAGGCTTAGGCTTAGGCTTAGGTTTAGGCTTAGGCCAGGCCTATGTCGCTCACTTACCTTAGCATCGTTCGTTGTTTTCTCCTCATTTTTTGGCTTTGCGTCCTTAGCAAAGTCAGCGGAGTTGTAGGACTAAAAATTGAGATCAATTTGGCTATCAATATTATCAATATTTCTTTTATTTGATGCAAAAATTTACCAAGCTCTCCCCTCCCACTATCGTGTTCGCTCGTTTTTTGAGGGTCACCGGCTTCGTGGCGCTTTTCAGCGTGGCATCCCTAAAGAAAAAATTTTCAGGAAACCCGAAAATACAGTGTCGAGAAGTAGTAGGCTAAAGGGGTCGAAAATTACGCTTCATGTTCCTTCCAATGACTTACACTTTCTTGGTGGCATTTTGGGCCCCAACGGCCAGGGCGAGGAGGGGGAGTAGCTGCCAGAGCAACATCTTAAAAACGTGTTTGTAAGCGTGAGAGAGATAGACAGCGAGAGAGAGAGAAAGAGAGAGAGAGAAGAGTGAGGGAAAGCAAATTTCTGCAAATACAGTAATCGTAATTTGGAGCCGCCTGGAAATCCCGGTAAATACGTACGGTTCCGTTTTGCCGGCGCGGCTTTTATACGCGAAAAGTGGCGGGGCGAGTTGCCGAGTTATCGCGTAAAAAGGAATACCGGGATACTCATCCACGCGCCGCCGGAAAACTCACCCCGAAGCGCCCGTTGAATGCCCGGGGAATGCGGATTTGCCGGTACGCCACACTACGGCCGACACGACCGGAATACATTTCTTGAAATTTTTGACATTGTCAAGCCATAACTTTCTAGCCCCAGAAAAATAATTGATGCTTTGTGGAGCATTTCAGCACCTTTTTAAGCAAAAAAACACCTTTGACCTAATACCTCACTTGAGAATCGAGACCGAAAGCGAGAGAGAGAGAGACAGAGACAAGAGAGAGCAAGCGAGAGAGCAGGTTGGCATTTGGTAAAACCTTAAAATGTCAGCAGTCTACTCCAGAAATTCGACTTCTCGAATAGCATCGCTCTCGATGGAAGATATGGCACCGACGTGGAGGCTTCGTCAGCATTCAGAGGCATTTTGACGTGAACATCTGAAAATTGACGTATCATATCTGAAACAGCATCAAAAACTACTCCAGAATTTGTCGCAGGAATTTATCGGCAGATTCAGAATTCGGTGTTGAAGACGCTCAGAAGACGTCGGATCGTTGTCGGTTTCTGGTGAGTCTCTAGAACCCCCTAAGCCTAGACTTAAGTCTGAGCCTAAGCTAAAGCCTTACAAGCGTAAGCCTAAGCCCACGGCCCGAAATAAGATTAAAGCTTCCCGCGATTAGATTTTTCTATGTTTCAACACCTGATTTTTCTTCTTTCTAGTTTTATGAAGCTCTCTCCGGCATTTTTTTCAAATATTCCTGTTTTCCAAAGCGTCCCATTTCGAAGGCATTTTCACCAGAATTTTGCTGCTAATAGCTTCCGCCTCATTACCCTGGGTACGCAGCTCGTCATTTCGCAAATTTGGTTCCGCGACAACAGGTCTCGTTTTTTTGGAATTCCGAAATAAGGAATCCATCAGTTTTTTGGGTTTTTTCAGGCCATGTAGCTGCTCAAAAGTTTCGATGGTCGTTCGGCACGAAATTTCGCGAAAAACGGGCGCCCAGAATTTTTCAGGACCCGGTGATGGATGGGGGTTTGGTGGGGGGTGAGGATCTGAAAATCGGAGTGTTTTTAGAGCTCTGAAAAAGCTTGTTTAGCTTGGTTTTCTGGAGAATCTCTGCTAGCCTGCCCTTTTCTAAAGAATCTCTGCTAGCCTGCCCTTTCCTAAAGAATCTCTGCTAGCCTGCCCTTTCCTCAAGAATCTCTGCTAGCCTGCCCGGAACCTAAAATCCCATAATTTACACGCGACTACTCGTTACGTGATGTCCAAGTGGTGGCCTGCTATAATGAGTTGTGAAATGAATATAGAAACGGGCCCGCTCAACCTATTTATGCCAGCTTTACACGCAGCTTCTACCCAAAAGCCTTGCTCGGATTTCGGGATCTCTCTGTCTCTCTCGCTCTCTCTCTATCTCTCTCGCTCTCTCTGTCTCTCTCGATCTCTCTCTTCCTCCAAGGGGGTGTCTCCGTGAATTTATGCAAATTGAGAATCGGTGATGCGCGCCGGGGGCTAGTCGCCACCCTAAACTTCTCAAATTCCACATCACCCCCCGCGCCCCAACTTGATACGCGCCGCTTCTGTGGGTCTTTAATTTTTAATGAGCGGCTGACCGGTCGTCCTGGAGAGCGAGAGAGAGACAGAAAAAGAGAGAGAGAGCGAGAAAGAGAGAGATAGAGAGGTCGGACAGATAGATACCGTAGAGCTCCGCTTTTTCTATTTTGCACCCGCGACCAAAGCACTTTGAGGCACCATTCCCGGAGCCCGGAAATCAGCAATAAGCCCAGCGATCCTATATTTTTCTCTCTTTTTTTTCCGAAACAACTCCCAAATATAGCAATCGGAGGTTTGTAGGTGGTCAGACGGATAGAATAAAAATATATTCAGATTGAGGATGTTTTCTTTGTGTGCTTGTTCTTTCTCTCTCTCTCTCTCTCTCTCTCTCTCTCTCTCTCTCTCTCACTCTCTCTCTCTCTGTCTCTCTCTCTCCCTTTCACATGTTCTCTCTTTCTCGCGCCCTCTATCACGTTCTCTCGCTTTCTCGCTCGCTCTCTCTCCCTCGCTCCGTCTCACTCGCATTTTCAAACAATTCCATCCCCGAAATTTTTTCTCAGCCCACCTTTCCACCGCCTCCGTTTCAAATTTCCGGTCTACGCCTGTGTGCGAGGGTGGGGGGGGGTGGCGGAAATTTGTGAAAACGGAAATTTACGGTTTTTAGGGGCGCTGAAACAGCAGGGATTTCATTTCGGCAGACATCCGGCAGACGCTCATCTCTGGATGCAGGACGGGTCGGATTTTGGGTAATTTTGGCTTGATAAATCAGTTGTTTTGAGTTTTGCAGGCGGCCATCTCCTTCGGAAGCGAAATTAGAGGTGGCAGACGACGGAATCGGTTCGTTGCTTTTTTAGTTTAAAACCGGACATTTGAATTTTGACAACCTTGGCGTTCTCACTGGCTCTCGCTGCCTCTCTTTTTCTCTCTCTGTCTCTCTGTCTCTCTCTCTCTCTCTCTCTCTCTTTTTCTCTATCTCTTTATCTCTCTCTTTCTCTCTCCCTCTCGTTCCCTTTCTTTTCTCTTTCCAAACTGCCTAAAACCACGAATTTGCAGCTTCCGCTTAGCTCCGATCCGTATTTTGGAGCATTGCGTAGTACTGAGCTGTTTTTAGTACCAGTCGTTGCATATCAAAAGTTGTAGGTTTTCCGCTCCTACTTATGAGGACTATTGCGTACATTCCCGGAATAGCCATCACGAGCTTACCGAAAAGGGGAGAACAGGCATCACTGCGCCGATTTTTGAGCTTCTGGCGCGGCGGTAACAAGCTGAGAACCCTAGGGCAGCGATCAAGGCTTAGGACAGGCCAGCAGGGATCCTTAGGAATTTATTGGCTTCTGGGCAGGCTAGCAGAGATCATTGGATCCCAGTAAACTTTTGTGGCGGGCTGGCAGAGATTTTTGAGGATCCCTAAGCTTCTGAGCAGGCTAGCAGAGATAATTGACCCCGATAAGAACCACCAGAGATCATTGGAGGTCGGAAAAAGTTGTGGCACGCTAGCAGAGGCCCATGGCGGAAACCTCGAGCTTTCAGGCCAGCTAGCAGAGACCCTTGAGGAGTCAAAAACTTTTGGGCAGGCTGGCGGAGACCCTTTGAGACCGGCTTTCCCCTGTGACTTCGAAACCGCCTCCAATATTACCCAATCCCCCAGAATAGCCAATTTCAGGCGAGTCGCCTAATCTCCTACCACGATTCTATAAAGCGCCCCGGTCCAGGTGCGACTGGCTGTGGGGTAGAAATGGCTCATATCTTTCGAATAATTGTCCGGTGGGCTCCTATTCACACCCCCCCAACACCCCTGATAATCCCCCATTATTATTGTCGGAGAGGACCATTGGCTCTGGGATTTTGGAAGAGTTGAGAGGGAGAGAGAGAGAGAGAGAGAGAGAGAGAGAGAGAGAGAGAGAGAAAGAGAGAGATACCAATTTCCAACGTCTCACCCGGGGGCTCATCATTGCCGGCTATGATTATTGGAATTTAGTGAGAGGGTGGGGCTTCACCTGGAGCCCCCTCTTAATGGCTATAATACTATAAAACGTAGATTCTTTAGGAAAGAGCAGGCTAGCAGAGATTCTTTAGGAAAGGGCTGGCTAGCAGCGATTCTTAGCCTTTCCACCAAGCAACTTTGCTCGTATGCCCCATAAAACAAGTAGCTCTCTTGTCTTGCGTGGCTCGCTGAAAACGAGGCCGTGGATTTTTGAACGGAAGCAATTTTCGAGTGCAGGATTCGCGACAATTTTGAAGCGGGGCCCCCGGCACGAATCGAGCAGTTTTGGCTGGGAATCCCGCTCAAAAATTACTAATATTTGTTTGGAATTCGTGTTTTTCAGGGCTAGAAACCGTCTCGTCGGCTTCGCAGCAAGTTCAAGAAGGTCAGCGGCTCACAAGGAGATGGTCTCAGCTCGACACCGAATTTCGTTTTCAAAATTTGCACACTGATAGAGCTCGACGAGACGAATCGATTGGTGTAACTTTCAGCTGCCCATACTAAAAAATAGCCGAGTTATAAGCATTTTAAGTTTTTGCATACATTTTGCATTTTTCCGGCCCTACCTTCATAAGCCCTCGCCCTTCCCCCATCACCGTGGCCTCGTGTCCTAGTGGCGTAGTCGGCGGCGTATGGGGAATCTGTTGAAGGTTCGAACCCGCTCACGATTTTTATTTTTTGCTTTTTGGCACAAATGCTGCCATTGGCGTTCTGAAGGCCTGGAATCAGTTCGTATTCCTTATTTTAACCCTTGCAAGGCGCAGTGCCCACAATACCTCATCAACAAAAATTTTCGAACTTAACATTGGACTTACGCACAACCTATCACAACGTTTTCAAAAAAATTGCGCCAATAAAAAAAGCTTGCTGACGTACAACGCATTCACCGTATGTTATATTGATTCTTAACTTTTTGTTCTATTTCAAATTTTCAATTTTGTTGCTGGGACATTTAATGCCCTTGGGGTCAAAAATCCAATTTTCTGAAAAAGATGTTTTATGGTCGCTGCGCCTTGCAAGGGTTAAAATACGGAATACGAACTGATTCCCGGCCCTCAGAACGCCAATGGCAGCATTTGTGCCAAAAAGCAAAAAATAAAAATCGTGAGCGGGTTCGAACCTTCAATAGATTCCCCATACGCCGCCGACTACGCCACTAGGCCACCAGGCCACGGTGATGGGGGAAGGGCGAGGGCTTATGAAGGTAGGGCGGAAAAAATGCAAAATGTATGCAAAAACTTAA